ATTGTATCGGCATTCACCGATATGGACCGTGACGCATTAAAGCGTGCCTGCGCACGATTCAGACCGAGAATGGAGGCGATCATTCAAGCAAGCGGGGGATATATTGAGTAAATATATTATTTATGGCCTTACAAACAGTGGAGCTAAACAAATTTTGTAAATCTTTTCATTGTAGCAATAAAACATATTTAGAAAAACATATATAATTTGTCCGGATTTTGGATTCCGCACCCTGTAGAGTTGTCCACGCGAGAATCTAACCTCGAAGGTTAACAGCGAGTATAGTCCGGAGGACCGGGTGCGTTTCGTGAGATGCAATTTATATCTCTAAGGACATTTTCCATCATGTTTAATATTGTGAAAATAATATAAAATATTTTTATGTAAAATATATTTAAAAGACAAACCTTACACCAAGTAACACTTAAAAAGGAAACAAATATTCATGAGTGAGGGAAGTTTTAGCTAGCTGATCAAATCCAGCAGCTGTTGGAATATGACCTCTATATCGTTGTTATCGTCGTTGTTTATCAATATATCCCAAACGGTCACGTCGTCCAGATCGCACTCCGTTTCCGAATCATCTATACCTGCAATTGAATCCCTAGTTCGATATGTGTCTCAAACACGAGCTCTTTCACAAACACTAAGTCAAAGAGAGAATTGAAGTAGAATTTTTTTTTTTTATATCCCACCTGGTATGTAGACCCAGCCGCGCTTTTTTCTAATTTCATCGGGACAAACTATGCGTATTGTTTTGCAAGCGTCTCCGAAGTTTTCCTTAAACCACTTAATGTCTGTTTTTCTTCTGGCATCGCTCACTATCCATACCGCCTTCTCGCGTGCTAAAAAAAAAAATTTAATAACAATTCCGTGCTCGCATAAAAATTTAGTATGTTTTGTGCGTTTGCCAGCTTTTTAATGTGTGTAACTTTTTGATAAAAGATAATTCAAATGATAAAAAAGTACCGTTGTACATGTCAATGGCGGCGCGACAAAAATAACCGTAATCTTTTTTTCTCATGTCTTCTCCCCATTTAACCATTTCGAGTCTGTACTTTTCTTTGTACTCTCCGTGTCCCAGTAGTTGATCGATGTCGAGATTAAGATACTTTGCCCAGTGCGTTTTTATGGGTCCCGATAGTCGTAGTATCGCGCTTTTTTGCGGACCAAGTCTGAAATTCATACACGCGAAAATTCAAATTTTATTACGTAGTAACATTCTTTCATCCTGGTGTTTTTTTACTAGTCTAGGTCAGGTCGACCAACTCCAATTGATTCGGGCTGCGTTCGGAGAGCACGCTATCAGCGCTACTATTGCGTCATTCTATCTTTGTTTTACATCTAATGAGGAATAAAGATAGAATGATGCAACAGCGCTGATAGCGCGCTCCCCGAACGCAGCCTCGGAGTAGGTATGAAGTTCAAATAGCGTCGTTCTATCTTTGTCCGCGTTTGACGAAGGAATCGAGATAGAACGACGCGCTTCGGAAGCATTTGTAGCGCGACTTGGACTTTGTTCCACGGCGAACCAAAGTTGGTCGAACTGACTTCGTGTCAACTTTTGCTCACGAGTGACGTTTTGTTTTTTTCGCGATCGACTAAAAATTAATTTGCAGACACGTACCTCTTATACAAAATATCGGTAATATAATCCTTGCCGGATTTTCTCTTGCCACTGAATAACAAAACTCTGTCCGGTTTCGTCAAACCACTCGTGCTCGTCATGTCACCGCTCGTTTCCAGTGTCTGCATCGCAGCCATATTGACACAAAAAACTGTATAACATTACACCACTACAACTACGAACAAGAGAACGTGAAAATAATTCACGTGTATCTTTGAAACTTGTTGATGGTATCAGTTGTCTGATAGAGAAAGAATTTTATACATGTAGGAAACATACAGGAAGCTAGATGTTGGGTTTAAAGTAGTTTGCTTTAGTTAAAAGTAATTTTTTCTTTATTTTAAATTATTTAAAAATTGGTAATTAGCATATTTATTTAGCTTTCTTCGCTTCGCGAAGAGCCTTTCGCTGTTCTGCTCTCTTTAACTGAGCTTTCGGTTTCAGATTATGTTTCTTTGCAAAACGTTGGTTCCTCAAAAATTTCAGGTCCATCTGTGGGAGAAAACAATTAACAATTAATGTACGTTATATTCATAAGATATATAAAAAAATTGTCCCAATGAGAAGGTAAATATAGTTTTAATTAAATTTGTATGTACGCTAGATTAAAATAATTTATTACATGTGTGTACTGTATGTTAAAATAAAAAGTTTTATATCATATTTACAACATTTTGTAACCCTCCCCTTTATTTTTGTACTAAATATTACCTAAGATATAAGTAAAATATTTAAATAAAAATATAACTATAATAACAAAGTAATTTCAAAAACTTACACCAAGAGTTGATTCGTGCCTGTACCTTTTAGGCTTCTTAATGCCATTTCGGTGTGCTTTTCTATCTATGAAACAAAACAAAGAAAAATGTTTGATGTACGAGAAATGTTAAAACTTTATGTATATCTCTAAATTATATTCTCTTTTTGAAAAGTTAAGATTATTCAGATATGTGATCAGCGTAATCATATCTAGTTTTTTTTTTTTTATCAGTATTTGATTGCAAACACTTGTAAACTTACTTTGATTGTGATTAGTGTGATTCTTTGACTTAGCCATTCTTCAGACTTGATTTACCACGTTCTGAAATAAACAAATATTTTATTTTACTTCAAAACATTGTGCGTCGTGTTAGGTTATGTGAGTTTTCAAAAAAAAAGTTATCATTGCTAAAATGTCCTTATGTGTATTACAGTTTCGAGAAAATATACAGCTAATTGTTATTATGATTGATAAAAGTGTTGCAAGTTTTCAAACGTGCTACAATTATATCAGATTGAACGGATATTCGATAAAAAATTATAAACCTTGGAAACACCACAGTCAGAAATCCTCGGAAAGGGAAGTCTCTCTCGAGAGAAAGTTCACGTGTTCGCTGCAAACCTGGAGCGATGTCAGCGCACTCTGATAACACTAAAAATGGTTCGGATCTGTGCTAAAATGGCTGCGTTTGACCAGAGAAAAGAATGAGAGCGGCCAAAAAAGCCCATTAGTTTATGTATATATAATATGTTTATATTCATTATAAACTGATTAAGATAGAATGTTCTGCATTGTGTTCTTTTGTACACACACATATCTATTCTATATTATTCTTATAGTAAATGCGATATGTAATATATTATTTGCTTTTATTAGAAGATTTTTGTTTTTTTTTTTTACACAGTGTAATACACGTTTTTCAACTATATATACCTATACATTTTTATATACAACAAGAGGACACAGAAGAAAATACACATCTTGAAACTCGCATATAAGTGGTTCTACATTTTGAAATAACTCTGTTTTCATGCGAGACTAAAATCTCGCTTTGATTGAAAATATATGGTACATTGTAATCTCAAAGAATATATAATTCATGCATCACAAAGTTTTATATCACAGTCAAACTATGTATCTACCAATAGTGGTTCAATGTTTAAGTTTCACATATGAATTTAAAAGCGGTTGTCCGCGAGAAAAAATATCGTCGTGATTTTTTTTTTTTTCGAGATAACTATTCTATCACTTAAATAAATACAGATAAAAACAAAATTAAAAAAACTCTATTCGCTATTATACACATGTAAACTAATTGTGTACTCCGCTCGAGTAATCGTATTTTTAAATGGGATATGCATTTTTGTATTTCTCTCTGTATATCGAAACTTAAAAAAAACTTGCAAAATTGATATAAATCGACTTGGGTGAAAAATTTGTTTTTATCGTAATAATTATTCCTCTCAACTTGCGAATGTGGATTATGTTGCAAAATGCGACAGAATGAATGTGAATTTTCACAGACCCATCAATTGTTTCTGCAACGTAATCCAATCCGCAATTTTCTGTTGAATCTTTCGCTTCTCCAACAAGACCGTGGCGGCCTTTTGGAACTTCTCCTCGTTTCGACGTATGTACATTCTCGCGTCTTGCTCCATCTGGCTGATCTTCTCGGGTCGGATCTCCACCATAGATAACATTTCCGTCAAATACGGATTGAATCTGAAGTAAATGTGATCGGGCAGCAGATCGTTAAGCATCGTGTGCACAGCTGAAAAAAAAAAATAAATAAAAAAATTTACGTCTCATTGTTACACAGCTTCAATTTTCACTCTTCACAACAAAGATTTTATCAAGTTTAATTTCCTCGCGCTAAATCTTTTTTAATCGTTTTATCACCTTCTGTGTCAGTGGCACTGTCCAAGATCTTGTAAAATTTCTCCTTCCAACTCGAGATCTCGATTCGAGATTCTTTCTCGCATATGTGATGCGGAATCCGACCAGTTCCGAACGACACGACACACTGAATCGGATTGTTCGGCCACAGTTGTCTGGCCTCGTGAATCGCCACGGCGCACGGATTGTTCACCAGAATACCTGAGGGGCAAACATTTTTGAAAAAAAAACGCTCTTCTAAAATACTCGACGACAAATTTTATTAGACGCAATTTTGCACGCGTTGTTCCAACTAACCACCATCCTGATGAAGATATTCGCCGTACTTGAATTCCTCGAAGTAACTCGGCGCGGCGGCCGACGCCCTCACGGCTTCCCACAATTTTTGTTTGTGACATCCCATGTACTGGCTCTCCACTCTGTGCGGTAGAGTGTAATTTCTGAACACGTAGGGCATGACACGCTCGTGATTCACCACGGCGGATACCGCTGAAAACTGTGAATTGTTCGCGTTAGTCAAACGACTCTCTCTCTCTCTCTCTTTGGTACTTATGTCGATCATAAGTTCACACATTTTTAATCGCTTTGTGTCAAAACTCAACGCACCTTCGGCGCATTTGGATCGCGCATAGTTTTGATAAGAATTTTGTCGCCCAAGTGTTCCGCCAACAATTGTTCCCACAAGGCGGTGTCGTAGTACGCGTGGCTCCAAACCAAACTGCTCGTGCCCTTTATGGCGCTTTGCGTGAACACTCTGATGCTCAGTTCTTTGTACAATCTCGACACTTCCTCCAATGACTTCCTTTTGTGTCCCCCTGCGATATCGAGAAGATAATCGATAAAAAAAAAAAAAAACCGGAATCAACAGAGAAACATTTTCCACTTGCAACTTATACGTAACAAAAAGAAGCCATTCACATGTAGCAATTTATGAATCTGTACAATTTTTACCTTGCAGACCATCCTTCGGCAACACTACACATATGGACAACAAGCAAATTAGTACACACGGACGTACAACACACGTGTCACAGAAATCAGACAGATGTTAATCGAACGAACGGATTTGGATGTGAAAGGATGATTTTAATTCGATTAATTACCCAACACAGCGGCCAGAATGGCGCCTGTGCTCACGCCGCATATGTAATCGAACATTTCGTGAGTCTTCTTTCCCGTGAGCTCTTCCAATTTCTTCAACATCTCGACAACCAGAACTCCGCGGATGCCGCCGCCGTCGATCGACAGAATTCTGATACCCCGTCCGGGCGGAGGATCAACGTGACCCATTACCGCGAGCGCCTCTCTGATGGACGCTACACACGTGAGATTGATTTTCAAATCAATCGTCGTCGCAAATTCATAAATGACGAACAATTAGAGCGAAAGAATTCGCGCGAGCAAAGTTTTTTTCTCTTCTTCGAATTTACCTCTGATCTGTTCGTCCTTTGTTTTCTGACGAGCTTGCAGCAAGATCGTGATCGCTCCCTCTTTGATCGCGTAGTGTCTGGCGTCCGGATACTGATCTATGTGCGCCAACAAGTCCTCGATTCTACGCCACTTAGAAGCGTTCGACTCGGCCGACACGATGCTGTTCAAAACGTGACGCGTGCGAGACGCGATGCTGTGCTTCGGAATGTTGCTGCGCACTTTCCACTTCGGTATCACGGTGGTGCTCCGCGTGATCTTGGGCGACAACTTCAGAAATAACGCCGAGAGAATCTGGGGCACGGTCAAGTTCTCCTTCGGTTCCACCTTGACATCGGACGTTCCATCTTGTTTCGGAATTTGCTGCGCGGAACAATGAGAGATCAATCAATTGATTAGTGAAAAGTGTGTGTAAACAAGTTTTTATCATCGCGTGTTGCTTCACACACACACACGCATATTACTTTTGTTTACAAATAAATCATCACCTGTTGCGGTTTCTGTTGCAGAGCGGAATTGTCCAAAACCGTTTCACGAGTCATCAGCCTAACGTCGGCCTTGTTCTTGTCCTTTTGCTGGGCGTTCAAATTCTTGCTTGGGTCGGAGGAATTAATGGATTCGGACGACGACAATTTTCTTATCGCGTCGAACTGCGAGTACGTCAGTTTCTGAAGAGAGTCAAGCCACTCCTTGGAGAGATTGAGCGGCTGATTCTTGTCGTGACTTTTGTTCAGATAATCCCTCAACTGCGACAGAAGTTTCCACTGATTTTGCATCGACATAGCGACTTTCTTCAAATCGCTCGCGGAACGCAAGATCTTGTTCGCAACGTTCGTTACATATCCGTCTTTGCCAGCCGCGCTGTCCTGCGTAAATTGTCTGCAATCGAAATAATAAATCAACATTGGTCGTTATCGCACGTGATAAATAATGGACGAGCAAGCAGTCTTTCTTTGTTGCGAGGACACTGTGGAAATAATTAATAATTAATTAAGTTGAAAGAGAGAGAGAGAGAGAGCGAAAGTAATAACCTCAACTCGAGAACGTTCGAAAGACGCGCATTTTCTGAAGATATTATTGTATTTTTATTGTTGCATCTCTCGTTTTTTTATTCTGTCGTCACAATTAAAATTTGTTGCTTGTCTAACGGATTACCGAGAAACAGTAGGTAGGTAGATGTGACTCATATTCCGAATAGTTATGCAGAAACAACACAACAAAGCGCGATCACATCGAAAGTTCGCGTCGCCACTGACGCGCATGCGCGCCCGACGCCATGTTTTTCCACACCGACAATCTGTCAAAGTCAGCTGATCGATGAAAAAACTCTCTCGCGACGATATATTTAGGTATTATTTAATTTCTCTTCGCCTCTATCTTGCGATTAATTGGCGCACAGAGACGGAAGAAGAACACGTCCGAAATGAGAAATCATTGAAACTACGATCAAAAACGCGAATCGTTCAATTTTTCTTTCGCAACCCTAACCTTTCAAAAAAAAATCTCTTGATCTTTAGTTGCGCCTTCGTATTATTATTTTAAATTAAAAAATTGATTCCGACAAAATTCGACAAAAATCGAATCTTGAAAAATCAAGTTTTGGTTCTTTTGAACAAAATATTCGTCGATTTCGAGAGAGAGAGAGAGAGAGAGAGAGAGAGGTACATATTTCTTTATCTGCGATTTAATTAACAAATTTCCTGTAACTTTTCTAATTTCAGCGCAGCACATATACGAATCGAATTTCATCTCACCTCGTTAACAGAACGCACTTCTGGCAATGCGTCACGTGTCTATTAAAAGCCATCGCGGGGTTCAAACACACACGCGAACTAAACAGATTTCTTTAAACGTCAAACAATTTAAATTTGCAAACGAATTTGCGCTCTTCTAAATCGGAAATGTTTTTTTTTTCGAGTTGAAAAGAGAAAAAAAATCGCGTGTACGCGAGGAATATATCGATTCGTCGCGACGATCTCTTTATTTGAGGGAGGCACCGTTGTTTCGACGAAAAATCAAATCGTTCGATTACGTAATCGAGACGAGAAACAACTCTCGGTTTCTAATCCGCGCAATCGATATTTGGCTCTCGCTTCGCGACGCGCGAGAAGATCGAATCCGGCGGGATGACGCGCGTCGAAGACGGCGCGATCGGTGTGTTACTGAACGTGACTACCGCGTCTTCGCGGTTCTTATACGCGTCGAAAAGCAACACGTGACGCGCGTGTCGTGACATTTTTCGACGAGCGACGTGCCTCGCAAGTGAGATCGTACGACGGTAACCCGGCCAATCGGTGATCGTCCGCTCAAATTAAGTTCCGCGTTATATAGAGCATATATATGTATATTGTGAAAAACAAAAAACAAAAACCGCGATGTTTGTCAAAAACAGATTTTCGCCGGGTGTATTTTGTTGTCAAAAAAAAAAAAACAAACAAACAAACAAATTGCGGAATCTTGTCAACCAAGAAGTTCGTCGACTCGATCGAAAATCTGTCGAACCCAAAAAAAAAAAAAGAAACAAATCGTATCGATCAGATCGGCAGATTCTCTCGAATCAATTTGTCGGATAACATCAGCAAATTCCGCTGGCGAATCACAGGAAACCCTCCCCCCCCGGGTTGTGCAAATTCGTCGTCTCTCGATCTGCTATCGGTGTGTTTCTTTCATTTTGTTCGCCGGGATGCCAGATGATATCTCGGTCTCGTAATCCCACGGGGGGATTACGTTCCCGTGGGATTGCGATTCTATTAGTAGAATCACGAAATTTTTCGTACGCGTTCTCCTCTCGGACAAAAATGCGCGCGCAGCGGCAGCAGCGTGTCATTTTAACGCGATTAGAGCGCAATAAAAATATTAAATACGCGCAATCGAGCAATTACGTACCGGCGTTGCCAGACACTGACATTTTCTTAACAAGTGAAAAGTTAAGTTGTGATATCTGACGAGTTTTAAGTAAAACGTGCGTTTTCTTTGTTTTTTTTTTTTTTTTTGCGAAATAGAAAAGTCGTAAAATTGCAACAATTACATCTTTGTCACAAGATTATTACCGCGTCGCCATCAGGCGCGCGAACGATTCGCGTGGCGAAATAAACAACAATTATGCGTATATATATATATATCACTTTTGAAAAACAAATTAGATATATGTGCTAAAAAATATGTCAATTGAATACGCGCAACTGCGTTTATCTTAACGCAGTTAGAAGCGAGCAAAAACACACTCGTTCGATCTATAAATAATTTATATTTGTTATTTTTCAAGGAAACAACAACAAGACGCGAAATGACGAGATTTGATTGCCGGCGTTACACCAGGACGTGCTCTCGGGGGGGGCACGTGTGCGGAATCGAACGACGTTGGACGTCGTCGCGCAAATAAATAGCGAGAGATGAGCGAACGACTTCCAATTGGTCACGCCCGCGTAACCTTTTACGCTGATTGGCCCGTCACACGGAGGCTCGACGTATTTGTCACGTTCGACGGAAATTGGCTCCCCTTGTGTTACTCGCGCGCATCGGTCATAAGATCGCTTCGTCTTCGACGAACAAGATCTTGTGAAATCGGAACCAAGTATGAACAACATGTTTTGCATCTATTTTGTTACTTTAAATAGCGTAGCTAAAAAAAAGAAAAGAAAACGAAAGACTCGCTCGCGCTTGACGAGGAGAGACGCGCACTTCCTCTTCGATCCGCGATATATCGTTGTAGCTTTCGCTATTGTGCGCGCGGATGTACACCGCTATATATATATGTATATATATTCTCTCTTGCACGGGATCTTGAAAATCCCACGGGATTGAACGGGCGGCGAGTCGTTCTTCAGGCGAGCTTCATTCTGCTGAAAGGCTCGTTTACGCGCGAACCGCGCGGTTTGTTTCTCCCGAATCGATGATCGCTTTCCGCGTTCTGTCCACCGGATTTCCTAGGCATGCGTACATACATATGCACATCCTCCTCAACGCCGTGCGTATCGTCTTGCGCAACGATTCGGACGCAGTTGAGAGATCGGATTCTATTTATACACGTATTTATGTTGCATTTGGGAGTTTCGATCAATTAGCGCAGACGAGATCCTCCCGTTTCGTTTCGCAACAGCGGAAGTCGAAACTGCGGAATATTAAAGAAAGTTTGCTTCTTTTCTGTGAAAAAAAATACTAAAGTTTTTTTCATCTTCTTATTGAGAAGTTTGCAAATCGCAAATCAAAAAAAAAAAAAAAAAGAAGATTCTCTCGCGTCGCAGAATGAGAATCTGACTGCAGAGTTCCTCCTCTCTGCGGATCATTTTTATCCGAAGAATAATCCATGCAAGTTATATACAGGGTGTCCCAGAATTGCCGTACAATCTCTCGTAGGCAGGTAGAAAGAGTAAAACTGAGTCGAAAAGTCCTGAACCATTTTTTTCTATTATTTATAATAAAGGAGTAATTATTGAGTAAATCAGGCCAATCAGCGCAGACCTTTAGCCAGACGCACGTCAGTGAGCCGCGCCCCGCGTGTGTGAGTGCTCACTGACGTGTGCCTGGCTAAAGGTCTGCGCTGATTAGCCTGATTTACTCAATAATTACTCCTTTATTATAAATAATAGAAAAAAATGGTTCAGGACTTTTCGACTCAGTTTTACTCCTTCTACCTGTCTACGAGAGATTGTACGGCAATTCTGGGACACCCTGTATATACGGGCATTTCTCATACTTCCTTTTCGCAGGGGCGCATTGGATTGCGCGTTGCCGCGGGTTCCGTGGGGTTGTATCAACCCCTATATAAGGCTGAATCCTTCGCCGCGAAACTCTAGACGTAGCTCGACGGGCAATCTGACGTGTGTGTGTGTGTATATGTATATATATATATATAAAATACATATGTGATCGTTTTTTTTTATCTTTTTTTTTTGCGCGAGACACACCACCTGTAGATTTCCCTCGACGAATCTCTTTCTCTCTCTCTTTCTCACTGTTTCTTTTCGCCGTTATGTTCGCGAAAACGCATTTGTTCGTCATGTCGGTCGTTGTCGCTTCGCAAGTGTCGCGGCTCGTAAGCGAACCGCGCGGTAAGACTTTTTTTGTTTATAATCACAGAAGATATGTTGTAAAAAAAACAATGTCATATGTGGGTGTGTGTGTTCTGTTGCCGCATGATGAAAAGTGACGTCGAAATTCGCGTAGACTTTTTTTGTAATTTTTATGTAAAAGTTATTATTGTACACGTAAGCGTGCACACACACACGTGCCGTTTATATATTTCTATTACACGTAATTGTAGTGTATGTTGTGATTGAAGTTTATAAGCAAACTGTGTATGTTTGTAAATATTTTATTTTTCGTTTAATTTTATTTATCGAATCTCTGTCGCGCGTGCGTTAACGATCAAGCTCATTGAGTATGCATGGTTTGCTCAGTATTCAATGTCCTCTTCCCCTCTTCTGATGTCCCGCGCAAATCGCGCGTATAAATAAAACGAATTTATTTTCCGTATGACGTTTCCACAACGAGTGCCAGACACGACAGTAATATTTTTTCTGCTTGCTTGAGCGTATTCGTGCGAATCGCTGCTTTTTGATATATATTTGATGCGCAGGCGAGTTTATTTCTTTTTGAAATTGTTTCAATGTTTTTGATTGTCACAAATTAGATTTTTAGCGATATTTCATACACAAGTTATAAAACAAACTAAGAAAAGATGAGAGAATGTTTTTGTTAATGTAATTGCGTAGTTTTTGTGTCATTTTTTAATTTTTTGTACAATATTTCACGTAATTTAAACAAAATATTTTTTATTATTCACACATTCATAATTTTCTTTAGCCGTGTTCAGCTTCGAGAGTGTCCGCAATAAATATTTGTCGATATATATATATATATATTTCATTTTGTCGATATCCGCGTTCGCAAATATATGCAAGGGTATATCCTCACATCTTTTTGATCCTTGCTGACCGCAGTGGATCACGAAAATTCTCTGCGGGTGTACAACGTGGGCGTTCTTATGGCGTCCCATCTCGACAGTCCTTTTGATCTTGAGCGATGCGGTCCAGCGGTCGATCTCGCTCTGGCCGAAGTAAACGATTTCCTGAGCGTTCACAACGTGCAGCTGCGCAAAGTTCAAGGAAGGTAAAAAAAAAAAAAACTTTGATCTCAGTCATTGTTATTGTTGAGATTAGAAGAGAAGAAGGATGGCGATTGTTTATCATCTCTTGGGAGAGACACGCTGCACACCGAGGGAACGGGTTTATTTTTCGTTAAATCGAGTAAATATATATTTTCTTGAAAATATATATTTACTCGATATACTTATACCTCTTTGCTTTCGAAGAAATTGTTTACTTTATTTCAACAAAATATCTCATCTCGAGTAAATGTGCGCGTTATCGCTCACATTGCAGTGAATTATTTTATATTTGTAAATATATGAAAATATAAAACACGTGTACGTTGTTTATTAATCGAAGATTTTTTTTTCAAACATTCTTTTTTTAAAAACTTCAAGTTTTTTTTCTCTATTAAAAATAATGCATTCTAATAAATATTCTACAAAATTAAAATATTTAAAAAATGGTAGAAATTAAAACATATAGAATATAAAATATAATATATTAAAATTAATAGAGAGAGAATATAAAGAAATTCAAATATAGAATTTTTGTAAAATGGTAGAAATTGAAATATAGAAATAATTGATTAAAAATTGTGTGCTCTTACTTGAACAAACTGAAACTGTTTTTTTCGAGATAATTCTTTCCCTCGGTGTATCGGTCGCGAACGGGGAGCGAAAACTCATTGCCAAATTTCACCCCCACCTTATTTCGTTCGATCGCGTTTCCATCAGCGTTTACACTGATAAAACAAAAAACACACATCGTGCATCGAGTTAGAGAGATACATATCCGTTCCGTTCTCTCAATTCATTCTCATAAAGCGTCCCTTTATAAACCTGCCGGTTCGCAATTTGCGCGCTTCGCTTTTATTCGGCCAAAAAAAAAGTGTGCGATTTTTTCTTATTTCGTTAGGGAGAGATTTATTAAAAGCGTATTACGTACATGGTAATGTAAAACCACACGGAAGAGTTGCGTTTGTGTACGAGGAAGATAGCAGCGTGTATAATATTAAAAAAAAAAAAAAGGGAAAAAAACAGAATATCTCGACAAGACGTGATTCTACAATATTTGTTTGTAAATATAGATTTCGCACATCGGGATCTGCTTGAATAGATCTGAAATCCTCATTTAGGTCGACTTATTCGATTATGGAGACGTTTGTTTTACCGCTCGTGCACGTCCCTTTTTTTGCGTCAGTGCATTGATACAATTGAACAGGCATCTGCGTGGAAAAAAGATGCGTCTGTCATAATTATATAAAAAAGTTTTACGCGCGATGAAAAAAAAAAAAAATAGTGACTAGTGTAAATTTTATGTGAAACGACATTTTTGAGAGAAATTCGACAAAAATTATTTATAAATAAATCTTACTTATCTATTTATTACATTTTATCTCTTTGTTACATTGTTGCTTTAATTTCTGCCAAAATAAACACTAGTGAAAACGCGCGGCGATATTTCGTACAACGCGTGTTTCTCTCTCTCTCTCTCTCTCTCTCTCTCTCTCTGTCTCTCTGTGTGTGCGGAGTAGCGGAAACTCAATCACTGACCCATTCATCGGGCTTACAATTAATGCGCCATTATTTCGATTCGCACGACGCGTCTCCACACACACACACGCACACACACGTGCATCGAACGCCGCGCACCCGATGATTGTTGCCATTCGCATCGCTAATTGCACGCCGCGAAATGCGCTCGCATCCGAAACATCGCATTTCGCAGCCTCCTCCCTCTTCAAGGACACGTACACGCCTGCACGCGCATACATTTGTCGGTTTGCGCGTGGCAACGTACACATATTAGTTATAGAGAAGAGAAACGGCGTCTACTTTCTTTTTTCTCATATACTTCTATCGTATGGCAAAACTCGATCGCGCATTATGTTTGCGCTCCGACAGATCGATCCATCACGCGGAATCGTGTCTCTTTTCAGATTGATATTCTTTCTATTGATTTCTCCGCGAACTGAATTTCTCTCGCACGCGTGAGAGAGGTCACGCGAATCCAACTACCAAGTGTATCAAATGACGTCGTTGTTATAACGGTGATAGAAAATTACTTATCGCGTTTCGATTTGTCGCCGCGCCGATTGACATTTTAATGTATTGTCGCGGCGCAGCGAAACCAAATGTGGTAACGTCGGAGAGTAAAACAATTACTTAAAGCGCTGTTCTTGCGCAATTGATTTTTATCAAAAATTTTTATATATATTTTGATTTGATTTTATTACATTATTTTATTATTAAAAAGAGGGAGAGAAGACCGCGGAAATAAATTTGGCAATGTGTTGTTTCGTGTTCATTTAACCACTTGCGATCGATGTTGTTTGGAGAATTGAATGATCGCGTTGAAATTTCCCAGCTACCCGTCGTGCAGCGGAGCGAAAGCTCCCGGTTTGGCGGCGGACATGCACTTCCAGGACAAGGTGATCGCCTTCATCGGGCCGGCTTGCGCGTTCGCTCTGGAACCGGTGGCACAACTCGCGGCCTACTGGAACAGTCCAATTATCACCGGCATGGGCGATCAAGTAGGTCGAATAATACACACACACACACACACACTCGCAATTTTGGTATCGCTATTTGGTACGAGCAACCCCCCTCCCCCCTCCGATTAACGCTTTTGCGCATTCTCTTCTGTACGTACTGTCGCGCTCGATATTCGCACGATTAACTTTCCGTAAAAGCGCCGCATTTGCATAATCGATATTTTATATATATATGTATAAATTCTGCATCATTTGATGAAAAACATCGTTACATTATAATCTTATCTTCCGGAGGAGACTGCAGAGCGCGATCTTTGAGGATCGTGAGGGATCGTATTATTTGGAAACGATTTTTTGTTTTGCGCAATATCAATCGCATTTTATGTATGTACGTAGCATTAACAAACTTAACTCTTCAAAAGATGCCAGACGTAAAAAATAATCTACGAGTTGTCCAGACTTGGTCCAGACCAAAGTCACGTGATTTTACTTTAGTCACGTTTCTTTAAAAACGACACTGAAGAGAATTAATTATATATACATGTAAATTTGTTTTTCGTCACCGATGTTTCTTGTTATAATTGTATTTACGTCGCAGTTGTGTTTTTGAGTTGTGCGCATATATCATGTTTCGCTTTGTTAGAAAAATTTTTATACAAATTGTGTCCTGTGTTGCGATCAAATAAATTATGTGAATAAAATATATAAAAATTATTCGCTTTTTTGCGAAACAAGCCTCCCTCGGAAGGCGAACTGTCAGTCACGTCCGGTATTCTCGGAAGGATCCATAAGTGGAAGAACGAAACATCGGTAAGAATTCTCCTTGTTGAGAATCGTCTCTATATGTGTATATGTAATTTATAATTTTTTTTTTCTTTTAATTACTGAAAAATTGCTGATTATTTTTGAAAAAAAAAAAAAAAAAAACATTACACGCGTGCAATATATCTCACTCTCTTTTTAACATACTAATTAGCTGTGAGCTAATTGCAACCGGGAGTCGAGGAGAGAAAAAAAGCATTACTTTCAACAGAGAAACGAACACACGCTCTTCCCTAATAAAAAATAAAGCTCATTAAGCTTAGAATTACCACACGGTAACGTATATACGTGTATTATCATTAAGCAGATTATTTTTACATTATATAATGTATATTTTACAGTAAATTATTATTTATTTTTTTAATACAAATAACGACGTGAAAGATTTCACGATATTATTTTTCTCGTACTGATTTTTTTTTTTTACAGATAACTCTAATATGTATTTTTTTCTGTTTACCTCTTTTTCTTAAAGGGAATCTTCAAAGACAAGAGCAAGTATCCCACTTTAACAAGAATGTCGTACTGCCAGTGTCGATTGCGTCTCGTTTTCGCCAGCGTCTTCAAGGAATTCGGATGGTCTCACGTCGCGCTCATACTGGACAGATCGGATCTGTTCTCGTTGACGGTGGGAAAGAATCTCGAGTACGGTCTGCGTAAGGACGGCCTTCTGAAGTTCGTCCGGGAGTTGGACGGTAACTCCGAGAACGAGTCGTACGATCTTTATCTGCGCGACGCGAGTATGTACGCCAGAAGTGAGTGTAAACAGCTTTTGTCGCCGCCCAAAGTTTTTCTCGCTCTCGTTTTTTTGTATCGAAAATCTATTCTGTTTCCGAGAGAAGAGAAATATGTTTTTCAATTTATCGAAATTTGTCAAACAGCAAACAAGAGTAATTTAATTTCTACTAATTAATGCGACTATTTTTTTTTTTTTTCGATAGTCGTGATACTCAGCGTTCGCGGAACTCTAGTCCGAAAGTTCATGTTGGCCGCTCACGAGTTGGGGATGACGAAGGGAAACTGGGCTTTCCTCGACGTCGAGATATTTCACGTAAGAGATGGCATGTAAAAAAAAAAAAAAAAAAAAAACAGAAAACACGAAAAGGCTTCTTCAAAGATACTTCGTATCAAGATCGCACAGCAAATTTATATACATCGCAGTTACTCCCGTGAGCTACTTCTCACCGATAGTAAAAAAGACGAAACAATTTTAAAGGGCTCTTATTGGGGTGATCACGACTGGGAGGTCGGGGACGAGGACGACGCAGCCGCCAGAAAGGCCTACGAATCGTTATTGCGAGTGTCTCTTCTTCAACCGACCAGTCCGCGATTTCAGGACTTCGCCGACAACGTCAGACACCGGGCGCAGTCCGATTACAATTACACGTTCTCCGAGGGCGAAGAGGTGAATGTCAAATTCTCGCAACACACTGAATTCTCAATATATATTGCGGTATGACGAAGAGAAGCAAACGATAAAAAATTCGCGAAAGTTGTTATCTTCCGAAAAAAGAGATTTTTTTTTTATGCACGCGCTCAGTTTTTTTTCTCTCGACGATGATTAATTTTAAGTCACAATTAAATCCTGAGAGAATCAAAATTTAAAATTCTCAATCTCTCTCACTTTTTTTCCCCGCAGGTAAATTTCTTCGTCGGGGCATTTTATGACGGTGTTTACTTGTTAGGGATCGCACTGAACGAGACACTGGCCGAGGGCGGTGATATCAGAGACGGTTTGTCCATTACCAGGAGAATGTGGGACCGGGACTTCATCGGCATTACCGGCCACGTCAGGATAGACGACAATGGGGATCGCGACGCGGATTACAGCATTCTCGATTTAGATCCCATTACCGGAAGGTCATTGAAAAAAAAAAAAAATCCGTAACGCAATCCTCGCGACGCGACAGTTATATTTTTGATACTGATGTGTTGACTTGACCGCGAGAGGAAAGTCAATACGTCAGGATATTTCGCAATCAAAAATAAAGACATCGCTGATGATTTTAATATGCGCGAAACTTTGTATGTTCTAAAGAAGAGAACACGATATAAGAATAAGAAAAAAACTCACTTCGACGTAATAAAAATCGTTTAACTTTACAGGTTCGAAGTGGTCGCTCATTATTTGGGATTGAATCGGGAGTACAACCCGATGCCCGGTAAGAAGATTCACTGGCCGGGTGGAAGGGAGGGACCACCGCCGGATATTCCGGAGTGCGGATTTTTGGGAAACGATCCTGCTTGCACGTCGAAATCAGAAGCTTACACGTTTATAGCCTACGCGTGCGTGACCCTCGCTATATTTCTGCTCGCTGCGATCACGGCCGCTTGCATTTTATACAGGTACTATACGATATACTTCGACACGTGGCGCGATTTTGATCCTCTCGCGTCAAATCTCATTCCATATTTTTTCACAAAAGTCTCACGTAACAACAAACCATAAATAAAACAAACAGTAGAAACAAAATAAAATGGGAAAGAGATAAAAGTGATGATGAAAACTTCGCGATTTCATAACATTAATTAATTTTCATAAATTAATTAAAAGGAAAAATATACGAATAAAAAAGAAAATAAAAAATATATGGTTTTTGCATTTTACATTAAATATTTGCCAAATATAAAAATGTTGATCGAGATACAAACGAAGAACTCGAAATCTCTTTTTTGTGCGCAGACACTTGCGATTGTCCGCCGATCTGAACAACATGTCTTGGCGCGTCAGACCCGAGGAACTGCTCTTGGAAGTGGGGAAGCAGTTCTCGTCGAAGATCAATCTGCACCAACCGATGTCCGACGCGAACGTGAGTTTACAACAAAAAAAAAAAAAAAAAAAAAACTAATCGCAACAAAGCGCAAGTTAGAGTTTGTTCCGTGATTTGTTTTTGCAGAACTTCGGATTGGAGCAAAAGATACGTCGCGGATCGCAGATCAGTTGCGAGTCGCTGCCGCCCACGACCGTGTTCACCACTATTGGGATATACAAGGGTGAACGAGTCGCTATTAAGAAGATTACGAAGAAAAAAGTTGTCGACGTGACGAAGAAATTGCTCTGGGAAATCAAGCAAGTGAGGGACGTCACGTCCGAGAACACCGTGAGGTATATGCGCTTCTCGTTCATTCAACGGTCGAAAAGTTAATTTTTTTTTCCTTTTTTTGCAACACGTCGTATATAACACATCAGTGCGGGATTTTTCGTCACGATGCAAAAAAAGTTTGGTTTTTTGTTTCGCATATTAAAATCACACGATTTCCTTAGGTTTATCGGCGCTTGTATCTGCTCGCCGTCGCCGACCGTTTTAATACTCACGGAATATTGTCCTCGGGGATCGTTGAAGGACGTTTTGGAGAACGAGGCCATCAAACTGGACTGGAATTTTCGTATGTCTCTCATCCACGATATTGTCAAGGTATCGCGAAAAAAAATTGATGTTTCTCGTTAAATCGTTTTTTTGTTTTTTTGTACTCCAACGCTCTTCGCGCACGAGTCTCTTCATAATGTTCCGTTTTAACAATTCAATCGTGCTGTAAATTGCACGCGGTATTGTTGATCACCATCAAGCTTGAAATACCGTGAATATAATTAAAAAAAAAAAAAATAGATGTCTTTGTTTTTTTCTACAGGGAATGTCTTACCTTCATGCCAGCGAGGTTTCCGCGCACGGTAAGTTACGATCGTGCAATTGCCTGATCGACAGTCGCTTCGTGCTGAAAATTTCGGACTTCGGACTAAAAACTCTCACCACTCCTTCCGATTTAATTAAAGACGAAAGCTATTACACCAGTGAGTCATCACGCATGAGCGATACAAAATCTACAAAATACGATTTGACACATTTGTCAAATGTATTATTACATTATATCGAAACGTCGTTTTTATTTGCAGAACTACTTTGGATCGCTCCCGAGCTTCTGCCGCTGACGATAACACCCGGGAGCGCCGCGACGCAAAAGGGCGACGTGTACAGCTTCGCGATCATTTTGGAAGAAATAGTGGTTTGCGGCGGTCCGTACGAAATAGCCAGAAAACTCATGTTTATGACCGCGCAGGAGGTAACGATTCGATTTCAATGTCGCGCTGCATCGTCTTCATTCGTTTTAAATATTGTTGTTGTCTCTCTGTTATATTTTTTGACTCTTCATTTCGAAAAAGATCGTGAGTCGAGTATCGGCGTCGGAGAATCCGCCGTTCAGGCCGGAAGTCAACGCGAAGGACTGTCCGCAGGACATACTGTCGTTGATGGAGAGATGCTGGCACGAAGTTCCCGAGGAACGTCCTAGCTTTCACGCGATTCGCGGCACGATCCGTGGAATTATGAAGTAAACGAAAATTTATAAGCTCTTCTTGTGCACATTTTGTTTTGCCGCGGATGAAACTGGTTATAAGTGTATTTTAAATCGCGGGGGGCGTACTCACGGTTTCAGAGGGTACTGCGAGAACCTGATGGACGATCTGCTGCGACGAATGGAACAGTACGCCAATAATCTGGAGGCTCTCGTCGAGGAGAAGACCGAACAGCTGAGTCTGGAGAAGCGTCGCAGCGAGGAATTGCTCTATCAAGTGCTCCCGAGGTACAATTTATTTGAAGCGTTGTGTTTTGCGAGTTTCCTCACACACACAATTTGTTTCCTCACAGGAAAAAAAAATAATAAAAAAAAAAATTCACAGAGAACAACAGCATTGATATTCTACCGTAACAGAAAAACGAAATTTTAAAGGCAAGTCGCTGGTCAGCTGATGGCCGGGGAGATGGTGCAACCGGAACAGTTCGAGTGCGTCACCATCTACTTCAGCGACATCGTCGGCTTCACCGCGCTCTGCGCCGAGAGCACGCCCATGGAGGTCGTGGACTTCCTGAACGATCTGTACAGCACCTTCGACAATATCATCGGATTCTACGATGTTTACAAGGTGCGAAAGGGGTTGAATTTTATTTATCCTGAGAATTTAAAAAACGAATATTCAGAAGAGAGAACATTGTTTCGAAGAATTATATTACCGTTGTTTTTAGTGAACATACTTCGCAAACATTTTTCCAATAAACTCTTGAAAAGCGCGTAGAAAATTATTGAGACGACTCGCGATTCGCAGGTGGAAACTATAGGAGACGCGTACATGGTCGCGTCCGGTCTTCCGCAGAGGAACGGCGACGAACACGCGAGAGAGATCGGACTTATGGCTCTGGCCATACTGGACGCCGTCAAGTCATTCACGATAATGCACAAGCAAAACACTCAGTTGAGCGTGAGAATCGGCGTGCACAGCGGCCCGGTTTGCGCGGGGGTGGTCGGTCAGAGGATGCCGCACTACTGTCTCTTCGGCGACACGGTGAACACGGCGTCTCGAATGGAATCTTCCGGTCTTCGTAAGATAAAGATACATTTGAGCGTTTCGTGTGCATTTAAAATACAATAACAAAAAAATGAGAACTGCAGGACTCTTAACTGTGAATTTAATCAAGTTGAAATCGGTATGTTGCAGCTCTGAGGATACACGTTTCCGAAGCGACGAAAAATATCTTGGACAAATTCGGAACGTTCAAGCTCGAACTACGGGGGGAAGTCGAGTTGAAGGGCAAGGGCAGAGCGACGTCTTACTGGTTGACGGGTTGCTCGGAGCCCGATTCCAGACTGGTCGTGCCCAAGTATCGCAGGCTCAGCAGCAGTCAACCTGAAAACAATCTGAATCCGCTGATCTTTCCGCCGAACAACGCGAGCGGTCCGAAAGCAAGCAGCACGTTCATTAACTTGACAGAATTTTAATCATTTCGCGCGCGCGGCGAAATCTCTTTTTAACATCCAGAAATCATCTCAAGCGATTCAAGAATTTGTCTTGAAATCTCTCTTGACTCTTTCTTTGTTTCAATGTGTAAAACAATTCGGTGAATTGGGTGTGTGATGTTGAACTAGAGTAGTTCAGAGACTTTACAACTTTTATTTTTTTTCTTCCACTCGAAATTTTACATTGGTAGGATATAATTTATTTATAAATGAGTGTGATATATATATATATATATACATATATATATATACATATTTATATATATATATATATATAACTTTTCGCGTTTATCACATTTCCATCGCGATTTCTGTAGATACACACAAAAAGAAAATATATATCTATTCAATTAATATGCGGATTTGTTTTAAGCGGTACACTGTTTGTCGTCCTCAACTCCGTCCCGAAATACATGTAATGTTTGCACGATCGATGCAGATGTAATTCGTTCGTTTAAAAATGATCTATATGTAAACTACTATAGAGTCTTCGATCACCTTTCTTTTTCTAGCTGTGTTTATAATGCGAAAGTTGATGTCAAAGATATACATTACAAAGCAATTCAACCTAATTGCTAATGTGTTCTCGCCAGTGTTACGTAACAGGGCTCCCAAGATTCTCTTCTCGTTTCAAATCCGATCGCTATCCGAGCATCCGGATGGCGGAATAAATTTTACGTGTTACGTTTCCCAAAATTTTCAAACTACTCGAAGTAATAATATCCGAACGTAAAAAATCCTGTCAGATTTCAATTCGGAAAAGATTAACTCAAACAAACCGTGATTCGACTGGATTCGAGAGAAAACACAGTCGAGAAAATGTGTAAAAAAAAAAAAAAAAAACGCGTTTTTCGTAAAAATGTAACGACAAATAAACAAATTGTGTGTCTTGTATATTTGTTGATACAAATTTTTACGTCACACGCCCGAGTATTTTCGATTGTTGCGAATTTGAATTCTCGGACTTGTTATCTCCTGATATCCGGATACTCGGAATGCTTTGGGAGCCCTATGTATTGTACATATATATATATATATTTAGTAATTTAATATATAATTTATCTTTTTTTTTAACATATACAATTTTAAACATTACAGTGATATTTGTTGTTTTTAGCATCTTTCGGTCTTTGTTTCCGTTCAGTGTCATTGCCACGATGATTACTACTACAAATGGTTAAAAATCTCTGTGAGCTCTATATCATATTTGTTATTACACCTAAATCGTCTTGTTGTTTCTGACAAAATCTTGACAACAGGATCATTGTCGTTGCGAGCTACTTAGACGCCAGGAACATTATTAATCTGCAAACGAAAGATCGACATGTTGTAACCACACACTCACACACTCACGCACGCGCGCGCGCATACACACACACACACACACATACAAATCGCACTTAAATATTGCATTCTATACTTGTAAACTGCAACAAGAAACAAAAGCTCGTGTTTTTTTTTTTTCTACTACGGAGAATTCTTTACCTAAGATTGATGGCCTTAGCAGCGAGGAGTCTATTGCACTCTGCCGTGTCCGGTAGCGGTAATGTGAAATACGGACTCTCGTTTTCCTGCTCGGTGAACTCGAATCTGTGAATTCTCGGATGTACTTTCATATCGCCAAACGGGCCTTTCAAGATCAAGTAATAAACCGGTAGCGGATACGTAGTTTTCGACTTTAAAATCAGCTACGAAACATATTTTCCACTTAGATAGGGCAGTGTACATAACATTGCGTGCGATTGAATTGCAATTATATTGTCATAAGATGCGATATCCTTTTAACTTATTTACTTGTTGCTCACACGTGAATTATATCACGTGGCGAGCGAAAAAATTAAATTTCTAAAAAGCTTTGCCAATAAAAAAATAAAAAAAATAAAAAAAATAAAAAAAAAAAAACAATAAGAGACAGTTTTCAGTTTCGTACTTGATAGGTCATGTCTCGCTCTGAACTTTGTGTGGGATCGCGCTGATTGCTATTGATCCTCGCCTTCAGCACCCACTGGTTGTTGAACGCGCCGAACCGTGAGGTTTCATAGAATAATTTATGAACAAATTCGTCAGTGCGATACGGCTTCATCTGTAAGTCTATAAAAACGATAAAATTTTACAGATAATCGACGTATCCATCGGAGCGCGTCTTAGCTGCGAAAAGAAGAAAATGTATGCACAAGTGTGTGTAACCAAAGTCGTCAAAAATTGTGACAAAATTATTTATAGACAGATCGATCGATAAATTGCCGTTGCTGCTAAATAAAGAAAAGCTGAGACATGTTTTCGCTAGAGAGCAACATACAATCTTTTAATATCTGTAATGTGTGTGATATGTTATAAGTATTATATTAGATTTTGATGTGATATATATATATACAGACCGGTAAACGTGATTTTCTCGTAGGACAAAAGATCAAAGATATTGTCATAGAGCCTACGCTCTTCCAATGTACGGGCATCGATATCTCTCAGCGCTTCCATCACGTCCGCCCCCGTGCGATTTGGGTGAACGCAGTGAATCTCGTGTTCCGGGATCTCGTGTTTGGGACCTCGCCATGGACAACCGATTCTATTATATTTGCAAGTAGACGTCCTGCGTAGGATTACATCAGTATCAGTACATTTTGCACGTTTTGGATGTGTCACACACAACAACGGGAAGCAATAAACTAAGATGAAAAAAACTCAGTTAAAGAAAAAATTCCAGAAACTACATTTCGACGCGTTTTCTAAAATGTTTGTAAAAAAACAAAAGTCTGTAAATTCAATGTGTGAATGCAAAAAAAATTGTTCGTGTCACGCATAAATACAATTGCCTTCTACTACTACGAATTTCCAGTCCACCTGCAACTACATCACATAAGATAATGATATTAATTAGAGGTGTGTGTCAATCATTCCCGTTTTCTTTTTTTTTTTTTTTATTCTTTTTGATTTTGCGCGCAATTCTGCAAATTTTGTCTTTAAAAAAATTTACCTCTCCTCGCACAACGCCTCTTCATGATGTTCTAAAGAATTTCGCGGAAACTCCTTCGCGCAATATTGACATTCGGCCGGTAACTCGGACACGGCCTTTTCGACCGCCAGATTTCGAGATGCGGTGGTTTTGCTGATCTCGATTCTGCAGTTGGGACACGTTGCCATCTCGTCCCGTAGCCTAGCATCTGCGAGGACATGAGTGAAGCAACCGGCACACATCAAGTGTCCATTAGCACACTGTGAACATCATTGCAGCATGTATTATTAACGTCCTTGTCATTCTGATCTTTGTATATAATAAAAAAACAAAAAAAAAAAAAAAAAAAAAAAAAAAAAAAAAAAAAAAAACAGAAAAAAAAAACAAAAAAACGACGGCCCTAAGATTCTCACAGTTCAGATATTCGAAGAAAATCAGTCACTCGAGACGCAACTGACCGTTAAAAATTTTAGACAATTTTTACAAAATGTCGCAACCAATTTTTTTTTCCCATCTACTACGTTTTACACACATATAGGATTTTGCTCTCTTATAAATTTCGCATCCTTACTCTTATGTATAACTACACATGTAAAACCACAATTCCAGAACACATTTATCCCAAATAGAACAAAAAAAGATTAGTGTCATGTATATTACCATCGTTTTGACGTTTACAAACCTGAAACACAAAATTGTACGAATATTCATTAATCACAAGTGTCACACTTTATCGAGAGAAAAATCGTCTGGTTTAAATCATCATCACGAGAGTACTCTTCTATATTAGTTTTTTTTTCTTTTTTTTTTAATGACTAACATATGTATATATATATATATATATATATACACACACATATACATATACATATACATATCTCAATGACAAGAGAAAGGACAAGACGAGGAAGATGATACGAGGGACGAGTAAAAAGGAGGTGTTTTATGCGAAATAACTAACTAATTACCTTCAAGAATATTTATTTTGTTTCTCGCACTATACAAATTTATACACAAACATCTGTTTTTCTTTCTTTATGTTCGCTTATGCTCCCACTCTCTCACTCTCGCTCTCACTCTCTCTCTTTCTCTCTCTCTCTCTCTCGCTGATGTTGACTAATACAACTGATGAGCATCAGTTTCGCATTAATCTAACGATCGAGCTCTCTATTCTCATTTGTGTGCTCCGGTCTTGCCTTCGATATATATATATATGGTAATCTCTTATATATTAAATATATATTTAGTAAAAAAAAAAAAACTCCGAAAGTATCGTTATTTATCATACGCTAAACAAACTACAGAGAGCTAGAGATCTTAATTAATCTTTGCTAATTGTTTTTTCTCTAAGCTGATTCAATAGATCAACGTTTTTATTTAAACACGAGATTTCTCAGTTATTTATTTAAACACGAGATTTCTCTCAGTTATCCGCGACTATTCTATTGTACGTGAAGCACATGTGGAGAATTAACACTGCTACGTGTTATTCATAAATGCGATATTTTAATGCTACTAGTTTCTAATGAAAAACAAAGAGGATGTGCGGAGTGTTTTGCGAAAGTTTACAAAAACTAAAAGAACACAGTGTGTGGGTGTGTAAGTGTTCGTGTGTGTGTATGTGTATGTGTGTGTGTGCGTGTGACAAATGTTTCTCGTCTCACATATCACAAATAAAAATGTGTCTGCTGCTGCACAGAGAAAAAACACCTTACACTGAGCTTACATATATAATATATATGTGTGTATGTTAGTTTATAACATTAGGAATAACTAAGATAAGACAAGATACAAACTCTCTCCTTCATATATTACAATATAGTATAGTTGGTTGTCTTTTCTATAAACGTCCCTTTTTGTAGCGCCACAGTTTGTTTGCACTTCCATAAGTAATTCTAAAGAAAAGTACTGAGGATGAAATATTTGACGACAGCACTTCAGAGAGATTTTTGTGTAAATTGAAAAATCTACAACAGTTCTTTTTTTTTTTTTGTTTTTTCTTCACAAACAAGTGTCTCCTTAATATGTTCCATGAACGAAAACACATGAATGTAACACGAACACATGCATACATTATATTATTACAAAACAAGTTGAGGGAATGCTGCTGCTGCTGCTCCCTCACAAGGTGTGTCTATCGGGGAAGTGATTTTTGAGGTACGTATATTTGCGTTTATTTTTATTTTTTTTTTCAATAGTCTGAAGTTTGTGTTTATTTTGCAGACTTGGCGTCAATCAATTGTCGAGTAACAAAATGCTAATATAAATATAAACTTGGAAGACACACAAGACAGTTATATTGGTAATCACACAAGACACGTGAGAAATTCTTCTTGAGTTGTAACTCTTTGCGATGATACAACAACACTGGAGGAAAAAATATTCTTCAACGACAAGTTAAATGACATATTACATAATTTTATCCAAGCAAAAAAGATACGTGAAACAAATATATATATATCTCATAGCTCATCAAAACAATCTTTATGCAAGCATTGCGAAAAACAATTGCTCTCTTGTGTATGTTTGTCCGGATACAAGAGTATTGATGCCTTTATTGATAATAACGTCGTTTCAATCTGTTTCTCACATAAAAAAGAAAAAAAATATAAAAATTACCTACCTGCAGAACATAACACATATCTCTTGTCTCCCTTTGACAGACAAATTCATTACCTAAACCTGTGTACAAAGCTCAGTTTTGCTCAGGACAGAAGGCTAGTATAACGAAAATGTATTCTTCGCTATGTTCATGTAAAAAAAAAACGAGTATTTTTTCCGACTCGCACAAATTTCAATCTTATCTCGGGGATTAAGGAGAGAAACAGAAAGTGTGAGGGGGAAAAAAACTAAGGGAAAGTACATCGCAGTTTTTGCGATTGTTGTTATAACAAAATAAAAAAAATAAAAAAATATCTCGTTACTCTCCTACCTAGATGTCACGAACTCTTTTGTTATTTATCTTGCATTTAAACAAAAAGAAAATTGAGAACTGAAAACAGAGAAAGAAAGAGAGAGAGAGAGAGAGAGAGGGTGGGGAAGAGAAAAAGAAAAAATATTTTAACGTGGAAGTAGGAAAGAGAGAAGACACAGGCTGCTGTGAAAAAAAAAGTAATAACAAAAATAATTAAAAACTAACAACGCGTTGAAACTCTCTTTGTGTTCTTGCCGCGGAGTACACACATCTCTTTCCGGAGTACGTTTCACTCTCGCGCAGAAAAAAAAAAATGCTCTTTTGATGTGTCTGTGTGTGTGCGCGTGTAATAATTTTTTAACATCGTAAATCTTTGAAAAAATTTTTATCCAACGCGTGAGAGTAACATATACGTACTTTGGATAAAAAAAAAAAAAGGGTTTTTACCCTCTACAAGGAACTTCTGTGCTCCTCTGTGTCACAGACATATCTTCGGCGTATTCATGACATATTATCATCAATCTCTCTGTACACCTTCTTCGCACAGCACACAGGCCGTGCACATCACAGCTGCGAGATTACTGACTACACTACAACTAGAAGTGGGTTTAAAAGACCCCGTTCTCCGCGACTTTCGTTAGCTCGGGTAAACGGGGTCGATCGACGAAGGAGGATCCATCGGATAGGAAGAATGGGGAAGGGGCCGGGAGAGCGGGGGAAGGGTAAGAGAGGAGAGCGTGAACGTCGCAATTATATATCCTCGCAAGCGTGTGCGAGAGAGAAACGCCGTTTCTCGGCGGCGACACACGAATTTTGCGCCCACGAGAAACAAGAATTTCGTTTCAGAGAGGGGCAAAAGGCAATTAATTTACGGCAACGCGACCGAGAGCGATCGTTCGTCGGAACGCGTAGTGTCAAGATGCACAGGCGAGGACTTACCTGATACACGGCCGCGCGCGGCAGATCGAGACAAACTGCGCAGCAGAGAATGCCGCCCAGTCGGTGCTCCAGCTTCTGCTCGGTTTTGGTCGCATCGTCGGCGCGCTGCGTCGTTTTTCGTCGCTTCTTGTCGGGCTCGAAGTCCTCGGTCTTGTCAAGGTCCTCCCGCGTTGTGACAGCGGTGGTCGCGGTAGTCGCCACGACCTGTTCCGAGACACCGCTCGACGATGCAGGCTCATTGCTCGTGTCCGCCATGTTGCTTGTTTTGGAGTTTTCCCCTGAGCGAACGCGAGAAATGCGCAGAGTCAAAGAGACGCGTTGCCTCTACCTCTTTCTTTCTCTCTCTCTCTCTCTCTCTCTCTCGCTCTCGCTCTCGCTCTATCTCTCTCCCTCTGCTTGACCTGACCTGACGTAATGTAACACGCGCGTCCGCTGTGGTTTTCCTTCTCTCCGGGATCGGGGCCCTTTTTTCCGGCCCGTTTTCGGGCTCTCGAGCCCGAAATTTCGCACGAAAGGAGGAGCCAAATTGCCGTCGCCGATAAAAGCGAAACGATTTTGCAGGTTAACCTTGAAAAGTAGCAAAACGCAGACAACAACAAATGAAATTTTACTTACACTCCTGTCCACTCGCGTAGAGAATTATATACTGAATTTTTGTATTGATCTGTACTTTGGTTTCTAGCTTTCTCTCTCGTTCATGTTCCAACACGATACGCGCGTACATATGTATATACACAACAAATATACGCGACCTTTAAAAATTCAGCGAACACTACCAGGAGGAGAGTCTCTCTCTTGCGCGTCGCGTTTAACCTACCTTTGCGGTCTTTCGGAAGAGACCGTTTTTTTTTTTTTGTTTTTTTTTTTTTCAACACTACAATTGTCTTGAATTTGGCGAAAACGTAACCGATAAGAAATGTGAGGTTATATACCTTTGCGATATTATTTACACGCGAGATACGCGTACAACAATTGTCAACAATTGAGAGAACTCGAACGGACCCTGAAGTTGTGGGTGGTGACTGCTATAAAAGAGAAGGTGGGGGGGGGGGAGGTCGGAGGAATCGATTGCCGAGAGACATCGTGAGAGGGACACATCGATTAATCGATCCTTCGCGTCAAGTGCGTGCGTATCTGTTCGAAGTGCATTCGCACGATTGAAACCGATGCGTGATGAACGAACGAGAACGAGATCGGCGAGGGAGTGGGGGGAGAGAGGAAGATGCGCGACGAGAGAAGTGCTTCGTCGCGAAATCGCCGACGTGAACCGCGACGCGAGACCCAGACCGCGGGAATCGATCGATCGCCGACGAGGAAGGAGACACACGAGGCGACACGCTCTAAGCTGCTCGCTCGCGGAGAATATTCGCACTCTCTCTCGGCGAAAACGACGCGCAGACTGCCAACGACGCGGGGTCAACGATCGGGGGCGCGATCACGCCGTTTTGTTTACATCTGAGAGCGCACCCGCACTTCTCTCCGTGTTGTTTCTAAATTTATTTGCCTTTGCCCGTAGATAGAATTCGAACGAACGTCTCGATTTGAGTTTCTAAGAACAGGTAATTAATAACACAGGACATAATTCATTCGCAATCGGAAGATAAAAACGCGTTCTCAAAGATCAGAGAAAAAATAATGAAAGTCACAATTTTTGATTGCAATTTTTTACACATTTTTTATTTTTTAATTATGTTCAATTGTGATTTTTTAGTTTTGTTTTTTTCGTTATAGTTGTACACAATTTTTTTATTTTATATTTTATATTTTTCAGCAAATTGTGTTTTTAATTTATTGAACTCTCTCTCCCTCTCTCTCAAAAATAAATTTGTATAAAATTTAAAAACAAGCGCAAACTCAGAGCTTAAAAAGCGTTTTATACACGTTTTCGCGTCGAAATCAAATACTGTGATAAAAAGAAAAAAATTATTTCACATTGTTACAGACACTTGAAGGAAAACACGACCGAATCAAAGAGAGATGACTCAAAGATTTATCATCGTTAGGAAACAAAATGGAGAGAGAGAGAGAGAGACTTGGAATTTAATCCTGTTAAAATTACGCGATGCACGTACGTCTTCTCGGAGGATCGATCGCTCGGGAGTCGCCGATCGGAAGTGCACTTGCGGTTCAACGATCGGGTAACGCTTCTTTGTTTATATCGAGCGCGGCGCGAATACCTACGTTGTGTTATATTTTCTGTTCACACAGACAACAATGTTACATTGTTGATTTAATTCTTCGGTTATATTGTTTGTAGAGAAATATATCGTCGTGATATATACAGGATGGCCGAATAATATGTACAAGCGGGCACGACGTGATTCTTCAAAACAAACAAGAAAGAAGTATAGTTTTTTTTTTTCGTTTTCGGCTTATTTTCGAAGAAATCGAGTTTGTTTACGACACGTCGCTCGACGAAAACGTATCTCGGTTGTACGTTTGTACAACGTGCGTACGCAGTTTGATTTTCTCGGAAACTAAGCCGAAAAAATGAAAAACCTTTGTTCTATATTGTATTTTTTATTGTTTCACGAGAAATCACGTCGTGTCCGTTTGTACACGTATTACTCGGCCGATATATTATGCAAACACGATAATAATTTATATGTTAATCTATGGATAATAATTTTGCGTTAATATTTTTCTGATAAGACTCGCGCGATGCGCTGTGGAAAACCCAGTTTTTCTTTCACTTCACGATAAAATAAAATCGCTCGACGATCGAGGGAATCTTCGACCTGGATTTTTTCGGATTTCGCGAAGAATTTCAGCACCGCACGATGCTATTTGATATTTTTTCTTTCGTCGTGAACGCGTCGACGCGGTTTTCGGGTCTCTCGGTTTTCTTCTGCACAATAGCAAAGGCCATTGCACGTGACAAAAAAAATATTAGTCGCAGGTCGTAAGTTCGTAAGCAAATCGCGGACCGATCGCAGACCAAGATTCTGACTAACGTAAAATAATAAAACTGGTCTTCAATTGGTCTCCGAATCGCTTACGATCTCACGGTTGCGACTAAAATTTTTTCACGAGCGATAACTCCGAGACGCAGTAGATCGGTCGCGATAAAAGTGCAACAAAACGCTCGCGTCGTCTCTGATTCTCTTTCGTTTACTCGATTCCCCGATTCTTTTTTAAGTAACAAACGGTAATTCGGGACGTGTAATTTGAAATCATGTTTTTTTTTTTTTTTTAACATTCAGCCCGCGTGAAATCGACGCGTAATTCTCTGTATTCACAATAGGGTGTCGAATATGCGAAAGCATACTTACTCGAGATTGCTTTGTACTCGGTGCGGTACACTCGCGCACAATGCGAAATTGTGTTTGTTTTTTTTTTAAGTGACAACAACGCGTATACACGGCAATTCACGGACGCACGTGACGCGAGTAAAGTCTCGGGTTGAGTCGAAAAATGCGACGCGGGATCGAAAAACGTTGGCGCGCGTCGTCCGAGTTCAGTACTTTAACTGTGGAGTAGAGAGACGACACGCGCTGCAGCATCTGGCAGCGCATACACACACACACATACTAGATGTACCGTAGGTGTGGAGAACTAACGACCAATCGCGCGAGTGATTCGCACACAGAGAGACACGCGCAACATCGGGGCGATAAACTTTTCTACGTTTCGCGGAAAAACGCGGGCGCGCTTTGAAAAACAAATCGGAGAAAAATTTCCGCGAACGGAAATAAATAGTTTACAAACAATAAGAGTGTCTCCTTCCGATCTTCGAAGAGATTCTCGGAGAGAGTAACATTCGAGATTTCTCGTTCAAATCTCTAATGTGAGGCTCAGCCGAAAATAAAGCAGAAACCGAAGAATATTTAGACGATCGAGTTTTTTCTTCTCCTGTTTAATCACATTTCACCGTTTTTTTTGTTTGTTTGTTTGTTTGCCGGAACGTTCGCATTGCGAAAACAAACTGCACGTTCGAGGGATGAAGATGATGAGAGATCAAATCGTCAAATTTCACATCAATTTGTCGTTTCGTTCTTTTTGTTTTTTTTATTGATTCGCTCCAAGGTGTATTGTATCATGCTTCTCGCGTACTCGCACGTAATTATCTCCTCGTAGATTCGCAAAGAGAAAAAAAGTCGAAATGTGCAAATTTCAAACATTTCAAATTTTCGTTCGCGAAACGCCGATACATCGCCGCGGGGCTAAAAAAAAAAAAAAAACGTTCGAGTAACAAATTTTCTTCGCGCGCGATCGCGCATGTGTGAAATAATTACATGCGAATACTCACTAATTGTTTTTGTTTCTTTCGCACGTATATATACGCATATTGTGTATAATAATATATATACCCTGTCTCTACGCTTACATAAAGATTCGTGTGAAAGAAAAAAAAAAAAAAAAACAACTTACGTTAGTTAGTTGCTATACTAAACAACCGAGACCGCAATTCGGAAAGCTCGTTACTTCCTCGTTCATTTATTTCTTTCGCGAATATACATATATATGTCACGCTCTCTCAATAGATATAAAAATAACGCTCATTCTTTGTGTTTTCAAATAAAAATCACGCCGCTTTAATGAATGTGAACGCCGTCTGCTTAAAGTAAAAAGTTACTTCTCGCCGCAGAAGACCTAACAACTACAGTTCAACTATTACGTTCAACTGTACACACATACACACACACGCGCGCGCGCACACGCACACGCATTGCAGTGCACGCGCGTGTCGCAACAAAATCAATAATCACCGAAGAAAACATATTTATTCTCTCTTCGTCCCGTTCTCCGAGAACCTAATCAGCGGTTAGAGAACGTACAATTGTTATTATTCTCCACTACTTTATTTTACATTTGTTTCGTTTGTTTGGTTTGTTTTTTTTTTTTTTTTTCTAACTATATTCTGAATCGTCGGTGCACGACTTTCCCTGCAATTTGGAAAGAATGTGAACTAGCGTGCTCTAATACCGTAAAACGTAGAAGAGTAGTAAAGAGTAGTAGAAAACTTTGTTTTTTTTTTCTTTTGGTACTTGTGTGTGTGTATATATATATATATATATATATGTATATATACCGTCGGTTTACCTCTCGAATTTAGGTAATAATACACTTTTTTTCTAGACACTATACAACCGAAAACGCGTTTTTAGACGGCTGTGAACTTTGTACTTTTCGTATAGTATTTCTGAAATACCTTTTCCGCTACATGTTCGTTTTTTTTTTTTTTAGTGTCGTTAGGAATTCAGTGAACTCTATACGCCGGCGGAAACCGATCCGAGAGAAGTGGTCGGAAACGTGAGACATCCGAAAAAAGTATCCTGTTTTTATATCTGTATATTTGGCAAACACCGAATAAAACTTCGCCGGAGAGAGAGAGAAAAAAAAAATGCGTAGCGACCCGTCTCTTTTCTTGGTTTTTCGAATTGCAACCGTTCGGGTTATAAAGTTCACTGTTCGGAGAAAAATTGACTAGTTGTCCTCTTCGAGACCTAAGTCGAATACAGGAGTGTTTTCAGCCTAAACGATGATAATGCGATCTAAAGTTATTGCTCGGGGGCAAGTAAATTAGCTTCTTTCAGGCCGTGACACGCTTCGCAGTCTCCTCTCTTTCAACGTGCGATCGCACACACATGTTGAACGCGAATTCTACCGACGAATTTTAATCTGACAGAGAGACGCGCGCAATCATAATTATAGAGTCTCCTCTTCCCGTGTATGTACATAGAATCGCATGTATATAGCGTGTTTTAAATTTATTAGTATTTACACAAATACACAATTTTCGCGTCAGATTGAACAACAAAGTGACTTCCACACGCGCGTGTGTGACGAAAGTTCTCATCCCGTTCACTCTTCGTACACGCTGGAACGTTTCCGCCACATCTTCAATTTTTTGTTGCCTGCGTTGTTCTTCTGAGCAATGTCAACTACATCTGTAAATAACGCAGATACGCGATATGTAGAGATAATCATCGTGGCAAAATTAGATTTTTTTATTTCGCGACCGGAGAGATTGCGAGATACGTAAAAAAAAAAAAAAAAAAAAAAAAAATTGTATCGCACCTGTTGCACCGCGATCCGTCTCCGTTGTTATATCGTTGCTGAACGAGTCCAACAATTTGATCTTGTTGACTTGTTGCTGATTCTGCATCTCGGACACGGTCGCGAACATAATACTAGTAGAATTCTTCAGTCCGCTGTAAGATTGCTCCAATTGTTTCAACTTGCCGATTAACTCTACGTCCGTCGTGCGTATTTCGTTCACCTGTGTGTCAGTTATATAATATTATTAGCAAAAGAGAGAGAGAGAGAGAGAGAGAGCACGTTGCTATCTCGAACAATAGAGAACTTGATCGCGAATACGCACTTTTTCTTTCAGTTGTTGAACCGATGCCAGAATGGAAGCTTGTTCGGACATTTTAACGCACTCTCCTTGCAAGGACATCACTGTCGTGTTGATAGCCGCTGTTGCTTCTTGAAGAGAAACCAACTTTTTCTGAAAAATAAGATGAAAGGTAGATACAACAATTCATACTCTTCGTGTACAGAGATTATTAAGCTTGTATCATCGTACTTACGCGATCTTTGGTTTGATCTTCGGATACCCATTGCAATTTACTCGATAAAGTTTCATTCACGTGCGTTAAATTATTCATTAAATGCAATATCGTGGAGTTTAGCTTATCAGTCTTAAGTTTTGTCTCATCGGTGCTCACGATCTGCGGCTTTTGAGTGATGTTCGACAATTCTAACACAGTTTGCTGCAAAAAAAAACGCAGTTCTCGATAAATTCATTTATATTGCTACTTTATATATTTATTAAACTTAGTCACTTGGACACACCGGTGTGTGATCTTTACCTTGATATTGTTGATGTTCTGTTGCATGGTAGTTTGTGCATCTTGCACTCTCATGTTCGTATCCTTCAACGTTTTAACCGTCGCTCCCAAATCGCTTATCTGACTACCGAACGTTCCGACGCTGGTCGACAGCTCGTCCAAACGTTTCGGCAAATTGGCCATCTCGGGCTTGGCCTGGAAGTACTCCTGCACCTTATGCAAATCCTGCTGAATATGCGCCAGCTGCGGAAGTATCGATCCGTACAGTGAGTCATTCGAGCCGTCGCGAATAAATTATCGTGAATGTTAATTTCGTGCGGGTTTTTTTTACCTGTACCGTGAAATTATTTATTTGTTGTTTGAGATCGGACAGTCGGGAGAAGATAATTGTCTGGTTGTTCTGCAGATCCCTCGACAACGAGTGGCACTTCTGCAGAGCGTCCGGAACACCCTCGCTTCCTGCTATCACTTTACAACATACAAAATTTATACAATAAAAAAAACGCACGAGGCGAGAAGACATTGGAGAGATTCACGCGCGCGATATCGCACAATCGGTGCGCACTTCATGTACAGAAAGGTTCTAATTAAAAAATATTTACAGAGATTTGTTCGTACACCTTTTTTAGGTGTGTCAAAGTGTACGTACAAGTAAGTACAAATCATTCAAGATTGTTTGGTTTTATTTTTGTGTTATTGTTAAGTAACTGTTTTTTTACAGCTCTGTCGCGTGGACCGATTCATCTCACACGGCTAATAACGTGTCGGCTCTTTGCGAGCGTTAGACCTGCCGATACCTTGGTCTAATTCGGTTCGTAGAGCGGTAAGCTGTTGGCGAACGTCGATAAACAGCCATATCAAACTGGCGGTCGCCAACACGGAGGCACATGCCAGAAACGCGTTGCAAGCCTTCAGCAATCCGGGACAAACGCGACCCCTCCTGCCCCTGCACTTGCGACCGCTTCTGGTGGAGACGTTCCAGTATTCCGAGCGGTCGTCGCTGCTGTCCGTCAGCAATTCCTAAGTAAAACAGGAGAAGAAACACATGTTGATATCAAACGCACCGCGAGAATTCTCAGATAATTGTTTTTTTTTTTTATAACTCATGTGAATCTTTTTTATTTTCCCGAAAAAAAAATACTTGACTTGATACTGAACGTTCTTTTCAAAACACTTCAGCATAGAAGCAGCAATATTTTTCTTTCGAGAAGTCCGTCTCTCCGCGTGTGATCATATCTTTTCAACTCTCGATTATTCCGAGGAATAATGCGTGCGGCATGAATGCGTGGCACAAACGTGACGTCACGAGCAGAGAGAGCGAGAGAGAGAGAGACAACTTCACGTTTAACGCCGAAAACTGACGTTCGTGCGGTGTCACAGAATGTACGTACGTATTCTTTATCCGTAACTTTCGTTGCTTGCTTTATACTTATGGCCGACCTACATACATACATTACATTATATTACAAATCGAATAATCACCTGCGAACTGCGTTTGCCGGAACTCCGACGGGAAATGGCGTGCGCCGGCGCGAGGGCGTCCAGCTCCTTACGCTTCTTCATCTTCTTCGTCGGCTGACGAAGCGGCACCGTCACCGCCACCGAGTCCATTTCAAGCAGGACCACGCCGCCTATCTTTCAAGCGCGCTTACCTTCGTAAAATCTCGTCGGGGAGGATTTTGTCTCCCGCGTCACTTCTCACTTCCGGCACGATATCTGTCCGTACAACACACGATCGCCGCGAGCTCCGAAGATGATCGTTCCGCGATCGCGTTCGATCATCTCCGTTCGATCATCAACGAGGGAGACAGAGAGAACAATGGGCTCGATCACCGCGACATGTGCGTACTCACGGCGGAGAGAAACTCGCGTTTTACCTCCTCCGGAAAAAAAAAAGTTTCCAACACGCGCGCGCTTATAATCTCTCGCGCAAATTAATCGGCTCGCGAACTTTCGCGACAGTTTACATCCTCATCCCCTTCGAGACACTTTCTCCGGCACTGCACGTTTTTGGGCGGTCGGTCCAGTCGGTGTGACTTGGATCTTTTATTTCGGTCGCTCCGTCCGAACGTTAAAACGCTCGTACCCGTGCGCGCTTGTCGAATTACCACCTATGAAAAGAATTTTTTATTCGTCACGAAGAAATTTAGACACTTCGCGTGCTCGTATCGAGAATGATTTTGACAAAGTTTTGGGACACACCAAATGCCGAAGATGAAAATGTGGAACGCGCGCGCGCGCGCGACGACATGTGCGGCGATGTTTTGAGATTGTGCGATAGGCGCGGGCGTTGTTGAAAAAAAAAAAAAAAATAGTAAAGAGTCGAGATAAGCGCAATTGAAAGCGTGTCAATAATGCTTCGTCAAGGCAACAACTTCCTCCGATAAAAGCCAAGTGTACATACATACATGTCTGCTAAATTCTTGAGAATTTCTTTGTGCAACAATGTTGATTAAAATTTTCCGATCTCGCGTTCCGTTTCAAGATCGCCCTGTTTTTTTTTTCCAGGAATTAACTTGAAGAGGCAAAATCGCAAGTTTCGTCGACCAAAGCTCCGCAATTAACGATCCGTTCTCAATGAGATAACAATTGCAACAACAAGCACATATATATAGTATATCGTGTATACTTAAGCGGTTCCGTCATGATTGCATCACGGACGAACTCCTCTATACGTCACGCGACTCAAAATAAAATAAATAAAAAAAAACACACACACACCGCAGAAGCCAATACCAAAGACATCGAAGCCAAAGTAAGCTCGTTGAGGTTCAGACTTGTACAACCGTAGAAGAAAAAAAAACATCAAAACCGAAGTGCCGCACCGAGCTCGTCTGTTGTCAAAAAAAAAAAAAAAAAACGATTGTCTTTTCACGAAGGATGTGGAATCACGGCCGCCGAAATCGGCTTCGAGCGAAAAAAAAATTCCAGACTTCAAAAACATGGAACGAGATGGACAAAACGAACCGCGCGAACGACAATGCGAACGTCGCTCGTCGAACGATTTCGCTCGATCGTCGATCCCTGACTGAGTTGAGACCAGAGAACTCTTTTATCAACCTGGCTGGTGTGTCTGGCCGGCCACGCCGCAGGTGAGCCGCGTTTGTATTCACGCGCACGCACGTACACACACCCACACACACAATCGCGCGCGATCACAGAAGGCCTAGGAGCTCTTGAATTGAACGCACGTGACACGCAATGTACACGGTGCATCAGTGACGGAACCGCTCGCAATGCGCGCGACCCATTACGTTAGCGTCAAAGCGAAGAGAGAACGACCGTGTCAAAATTGCCCGACGGCAAAAAGGCGAGGAGAGAGAGAGAGAGAGCCGGGCCGCTGATAAGGGCAATCGTCGTCAGGTTGTTAATCCGCTTCAAGGCTTCTTTTTCTCGATTTTTCTCTTGCGATACATCGGTAATAATCCGCGATCGAACGGATCAAAATATATCGATTTTTTGTGTGTTTCGCATTTTTTCAACAATCCCAAGAAAGAAACAAACTCGCCAAAGCGCGATTCGACAAAGTTTAAAAACAGTTGGAATCTGAATTTCGTATATAGCCACACCGAAAGCGATCAGATACAAATGTTTCCGAAGCGTTGAATTTTATTGCCAACGAGATAAGTGAACGGTGTGATTATCACACAGAGAGAACAGAAATAAACTCGACTATACTCTCCGACAACGAGAGAGTTTGAAATTTAATTGTTTCGTTCTCGGTTGTTTGCAAAGCGGATTAACGCGTTCGAGAAGGACGGAGAAACATAAAGAAAAGCGTTCAAAAGATAACTTCGAATAATCACGGATAAAACACAGAGACAAATGGTCGAAGATAAGGCGGTGATATCGGCGTTCTCTCTCTCTCTCTCTCTCTCTCTCTCTCTCTCTCTCTCTCTCTCTCTCTCTCTCTNCTCTCTCTCTCTCTCTCTCTCTCTCTCTCTCTCTCTCTCTCTCTCTCTCTCTTTCTCTTTCTGTCTGTTGTATGTAATTAAGCGCGATCTGAGTTTTTTTTTGTGTTTTCTTTGTGGTTGGCAATCGAATGAATTCAACGAGCGAAATGGAGATAATAATACAATCGTGACAGTTCGAGCCCATTAATTAGACCGATATTGTCATTAGGCCGATAACTGCGCGAGATGGTTTTTATTAAAATTCTTCGGAAAATTTATTGAAAACATAATACACACACGTTCCTTGATCTTTAACGACAAGTCTAAATTCGACATCACACGCGTCGCGCGGCTTAACGTCATTTGAAACGCTGAGACGTCGCGACACATTTACGCGGCCCTGAACTCGATAAGATATACCGAGAGCGAGAGAGATAGAGAGAGAGAGAAGGTAAAATTTGTTGTACGCAATTTGACGGGTTAAAATTGCGTAAATTTTCTCTTTTTTTTTTTTTTTTTTTTCAGTCGACGCGATACGAAATAACGAGAGCTCTTCTATGAGCCGCGACAATTAAATGACCGTCAGTTTTGTTATCAAACTGTTTTACAACAATATATAATCGAGAACAAAAGAAAAAAAAATGTAAGAGGCATGAAGCAATTTTGATTGTAAGATATACGGAGAACTTGACGAAGGTTATTTTGCAACTCCTACGTACGTACTCGCGACGAGTGTTTTGCGGAAGTGAAGTACGGTGATGTTGCAATTTTCGGGCTAATTACCCGAGCGCACGTATAGTGCAACGTCGTGTGTAACAAGTTGACCCGATTATTAATTGTAATGTCAGCGAATAGCCGCGACCAAGATTTTCCTTGTCGATCTCCCAATTAAGTCCGCGTGACGTTATCGCTCCGAAATCTTTCGCGGAGTCACGTATTTTTTTTTGTTTTTTTCAAATTCGCGGTACAAGCCGTTGTTTCGGACAAGCGAACGATGTGGTCGACGCGATAAACGCGAAGAGCACACAATCCACGCAAAACGTTGAGCAATTCGTGGTTTTTTTTTTGTTTTTATCTTACGAGATCGTTCCGACTAAATGAGATGTCCACCGATTAATTCAGTTGCATGATTAATCGCGCGCGTAGAAAAAACTCACGTTGCGCGGCAAAATACATATATTCAATTAGTCTTATCAATTAATTAATATCTTAATGTCGCGCGACGCGCACGCGCGCGCAAATGTTTTTTTCCTCGACTCTTCGTATCGTCTCGCGAATTATTTTCCGTGGGAAAAAAGAACATCTCTGAAACTTCAAGTTCTTCGCGAACTAACACGGGTCTCCCAGACCTATTCCAAAAATTTCAAACCGGTGTCTCTGGTTAACATTAGTTTTTTTTTTTTTTTTTGTAACGCTTATATCTTCGAGACTAGAGATGTTTTTTAATTAATTAATTTTGTTTTTCAAAGAGCAAGATTGTTCGAACTTTCGAATAAAAATACTCAAAAAAAAATAGAAAAAATATTTTCGCGGAGATGTTTGATTTCAAAGTCGCGCGGGTCTCACGGTCTAGTTTAGTAGCTAGTTTTGGAAGTCGGTCGATTAAATCTTCTTCGATAAAACAAATAAGGTACAAAACTCGAACAAAGAACGAGCAAAGATTTGATTTTCTCTTTGGAACAAAATTTCGTACAATATTCCTCGAACAAAAAACTCTTTGCCGTTTGACTCGTCGTCGATCTCTCACTCACGTTCTATAGCGAAGCGCGCGCGCTTATTATACACACGTCAAGCGCCTCTTCGCATAAAATTCCAAAGACACACACCGAGACGATTGGCGATGTGTCAGGTCGTGGATATCGCGGTTCGTGTTTTTATACACGCGCGTGTTCAAATATTTATTACATTTGCGTCAGCAGCCGACGACTATAATCGAACTCGCGTTATATCTTGTGCGCGCGACACGATACCTTTCGCATTTAATGCGGAAGAACTTTTGTTCGATCAGAAAAAAAAAAAAAAAAAAAAACAGGGCGAGGAAAAACAGAGAGAATAAATTCTGTTTGTATCTTCTCTCGTTCCTCCCTCGATTCGTCGTACGACTGTTCCACTGCTGTTGAAAAAATAATAAAATTCAGAAGAAGCACAAGACTCTGTGTGCGTGTGTGCGCGCGCGCGCGCGCGTGTGTGTAGTTTCGCGTGGACGGTAAATGCAAAACTATGTAAATTCCGCGATGTCGTCGCAAGAGAAAAGCGCGTTTCGTTGTTGTGAGTAATTTGTTTTCGGCGCTATCTGCCACGTATCGGCGTTATCGCTTCCGTATCTCTCGACATTTCAGTTGCTTCCACGCGCAGACAGAAAACATTTTTTGGTTCTTTTCTCTAGAGACTAGATAAGGAATATAATCTTTCTTCAATCCCCCGATGTTCTCACGTTACGTTATGTAAAGCGACGAAAATGCTCCGTGAACGAGAAACTTTCGATCGTCTGTGTTTTTCTGCGCTCGAATCTCCGAGTTGCACGCTCGCGAAATGTGCAAGGAACTCGCTCCGAATTGTTTTTTTTTTTTTTTTTTTTTTTACAAAAGGGAGACAGAGAAAAAGAGCTAGCTTGTCGCGCGTACAGAACTTGACCTACGTGTGGGATGAATTATAGAGGAGATTCTGATCGATTACCCCGCGCGCGGGTGATGAGACGAACGTACACGACGAACGACGTACACTTGTGCACACGGGGGAAGTGTGCGACGATTTTTTTTCGTTCCAGGCAGCGGGTTTTTTCGAGCGGACGATCCTCCCGCGGAAATCGAAGAACGAGGAGGAGAGGCAACACACAAGAAAAGAGGCAGAAAAATCGCGACGCACCCCCGGACGAAAAGAACTCGGCGAAATATCACACACAGACGCGCGGTGTAGCGTAGCGGCTACTGCTCGCAAGCGCTCTGCGCCCGATATCGACTGGCTGAGGGTTGGTAGGCGACTAAAGGCACAGTTGGGGGGTTTCTGTCTGATAAGAACGCGCGCGGAACACACATAGGGAATTTTCAACCGGCGGCGTGACATAGCGCGGGTGTATACGACGATAAGACCGCGAGACGAAGTTGATAATTGCTATACGCGTACATATCAGTAGTAGTATAAATAAATTAAAGCAACAATTGTGAAAAAAACTTTATTGACGCGCACACGTGTGCAAGCGCGTGCGCAATTTGTCATGTTAAAAGTGTTTGCCGTATGAGATCACATCGCTACAGTATAGACGTTCGTCTGGAAAGTGTCTTTTTTATTTTTTTTTTTTTAATAAAAATTACAACAGATGTCGATAAACACAAGAAATAGAAGATACGCAGTGGAAATTGCGGCGAGATATTTCGAAATTGCGTGAAATAACGCGCTTCGGTAGAAAAAAAAAAGAAAACAAAAAAATAGTTTGTGTCGTTTTTTCTAATCACTTTTTAAAATATTCATAAAATGCGCCGTTTTTTTTTTTTTTTTTGATAATTATGTTAAATATTTAAATGTACGTATACACACGTTAATTTATTTCAATATACATAATACACCACACACCAATAGTCAAACATATTAAATAGATTTTTAATTAGAACCTTTCGCAGATGTACCTTCTGAGAACTTTTTAACGCAATGCTCGTTGCAGCAACTTTTATCGCGTAAAATGTACTATACAAATTGTACAAACAAACTTTTATGACTTCTACGTTCTATAATTTGAGCAATGCAAAATAGATACCAGCTGACGTTGCGCACATTTGTAAAAACAAATTGCGTATTGCTGCGGCGAACATCGCACAGTGTATAAAAAAAAAGACTTCGACAGTAAGATTGACATTTGCTACTTACTTGAAGGTGAAAAAAAAAAAAAAAAACAAATTACATGAATTTCTTCTAAAGTCTGACTGGAGAGAATAGAGTGCAATTTACCTGACTTTATAGACACGTCCATTTTCTTAATCTCGCTGTACAATATCGCCGCCAGCCATGACAACGCGATCAACCAGAATGTGATCAAAACAGCCGCCAACCACAAGGACACAATTCGCATGTCCTTTCTGCAACCGCAGTTGTTTTGTCTGGTTCTAGACAAAATCCTTGATCTGTGTCGCCTGCGAATGAAAAATTGTCGCGTAATATACGTTGATGAAACGCGACCGCGTTCTTTTTGTGAGAAAAAAAAACTCCTTCTCGCGTATAAATTTATTACAAAAATTAAACAAATTTATATACCGTTTGACCTTCTTCTTCTTCTGAGACGTCACGATCAGATCGGTGCTGTCGGAGTCGCTTTCCGACAGCAGATCCAACAGATTGATCGTCTCTTTGGAGTTTGGTTTCTCCATTCTCTTGTACCGCATGTCACGAACTTTCGAAATTGTCGATCGACCGTGGCCGATGTACCATCGTAACCTCCTCCTCTACGACCGTGGTTCCTCTTCCACGAGTACTATACCTCCGATGAGTTTCTCTGCCTACGTCGTGTCGCGCGAAATCAGATTTCCTCGAGATCCTCCGAGATCTCACACATTCCGTGTGTTATTCCCCGTATAAATCCCGACGTTGACTCGATCGAGGTAACGCAACGCATCTGTCACAACATAACCTAGATGTTCAGGGAGAGAAAGATTTTTGTTTAAAATTTGAACAAACACTTCCCTGCGCTTTTCTTCGGAATTTCATCATCCCGTCCTTCTCCATTCAATTCCCGCGATTACGTTGTTGTGCGTACACTCGTCTCGCTCCCTTCAACGCGAAAATTTCAACCACGCAGCTGAGGACGAGTACCGACATCGCGCAGCGCTCGAAGTTGCGACATCTGTCGGCAATTGAGATAATTAAAACGGCGTCCGATCGGTAAGCAATGCGAATTATCCGTAGGTAATTGCGAGTGTATCTTTGTGTGTTTTGAAATGGCGGGATCGCAGAAATTGCCGTTGCGACAATTTTCACAGAATTTTCACAGATCAACGAGTCTTTGGTCAAAATTTTTGTTCGACGAAGGAAACCGTCCCGTAGAAAAACCCGATCTAAATGTCAAACGTCTTGATAATCATGCAAAATTGAGGTGAGATTTGATCTTTCTCTCTGATTTATTATATTTTGTTCAATGTGCGCGTTCGAGTGATAAGAAATGTGTTTTTCAGGGGGGTATACATCGACAACAAAATTATTTGATATACGACGAGAGTTCTTGATATTCTTCATATTCCACATTGTCAAAAATTGGCAAAAACTCACGTTGACGTCTTGGCCGTTTGGTTGGCTGGATGTGACACAGCCGAATTTCGAACAACATCAGCTATGCCGACATCTTGCCTTCTAAACGTCCAGCTGAGACAGAAGAAAATTGCTACATCGAAATTACTATTATTTTGTAAATATGCGAAAGATTTTTTCTGGTTCGTAACACTTTTTATCTCTGACGCGTGTCGTTAAAAATCTCGAGAAAGATTCTTTCTTTTTTTTTTTAATATTATTAGAAATTTATTATAAAAAAAAACATTTGATCTGATAATCAGTCGTCATAACGCTCCGAGCAATTCGTTTTCGCCAAATTATGAAATATGACATGGGTAGTATATCAAGACAAAATTGCACATTATAAAAACAAAACAATGATAATTCAATCTCTTTAGAATATACGAAAATAAAAACTATATATAATTTTTCTCTTCTTCTTCTTCTTCTTCAAAAAAAAAAAAAAACTTATACTTACTTTCGAGTCAAAAAACTGTTGAAAATCCTTAAATTATCGCCGCGCGTTACTTACTTAAATATAAAAAGCTGAAATCTCTGAACACTTCGAAAACTAAACTTCACCATTGAATTAAACAGAGAAAAAAAATGTCTCGATGAAATTATGAAACGGTTCTCTTCTTGAAGGTTGCGATCTCGGCAGCAAAAGTTCACGTCAGAAAATTCGAAAAAAGGATTTGAAGAGTCGCACGAGAAAGACAGAAAAATGTGAGAGAGAGAGAAAGAGAGAGAAGTCAAGAAAAACTTTGATGTTCAATCCCGAAGACACCTTCTAACACCTGCACGAGGCTGGAGGTTCGCCAAAGAACTGATAGCGTGGGCGTCGTACCTTCGAAGACATAGACGCAAGGACGTACATGTATGTACGCGTACACATACATACACCGTCGTACACTACAGCGGCTTCTGAGAGGGAGAGGTAGGGAGGCGGGGGGAAGAGAACTAAAGTCTTTTACCTTCTTATTCCATTGGCTGAAGTCGAAGTGTTTCGAGCCGGCCTCTTTTCGCACTCTTCATCGCGGATCATCGTTTTCCGTTGTTTCCCGAGGTCGGAACGCGAGAGGTGTTAATGAAACCCCCGCCTCTCTCGCGGCTGCATTCTTTCGCACCCCGCTAACGTATTTCCCTACGAGTCCTCGCGGTCGACTATATATCTCATTCGCGTTGTTAATTACCGCGCAAAGGGGGGGTTGGTGTTAATCTTTTATTAAAAACATAAAGAGAAAAATCAAAGACCAGATAATTGCCCGATCAAAAGCACGCTATGTGTGCGGTTATTGAAGAAATATTAAAACATCGCAATGTTTTTCGAGATGCAATTACTTTTTATTGACACGTTAAGCACTTGTAATTAATTTCGATCATTTTATTCATCGCAGTGTTGTCCGCAAGATGAAGAGAACGATATCACACGTCATTTGCCGATATAACGGACGAAGCAAAGTCGATCGTACTTATGAGAGAAACTTCGCGCTGATCGAAACCACCGAAGGCCAGCGAGAGATCGTCGATTCGTAAGCGTCGGATTATACTTCCGTCAACGATAATTTTGGCATCGGCTCGATTTCCTAATAAAGCGGAAGCGCGTCCAGAAAGGCGCGTTTTTCGGCACGGAGCCCCCCCCCCCCCGAAATTGGGAGGGAAAATTCCAACTGTGCGCGCACCCACACACACACACACACACGCGTCACGCACGTTCGCGGGATTCTAATGCGCTGTCCGTGACTTCCGGTCACCGGGGCGAACTCGCGCGCTTCAAGGAGTCACGTGTGCGCGCGACGATTGTCGGTGACCGGATATGGCGAAGAACCAGCTGCGACCGAATCGCTCCGACACGGCGACGGGTGTCTCTTCTCTTCATGCCGATCACGCGTAACCCGTGTACCAAATACCGACCGACCATCAGTGACATCATGCTTATTGTGTACATAGGCGAAGCGCGCGAGCAAATCGCGCTTATTGTGCGCGCATCTTCGCCCGGAGCGGCGTCATTATCATGGCATCATAATAAACGACGTATGTACACACATATATCCGATGTATAATTTAATAATTGCGCCGAGTTCGAATTATTTAGACGCTATAGAAAGATCTCTCTCTCTCTCTCTGTTCGGGGTTAACTCAACTTTAATTTATTAATCCTCTCCGATTCCTGAGTGAAAATTTTTGTTTTTTGTTTTAGCGGGCGAGAAGCAATACCGACCGATTGATTCATCGAGAGTCGTCATTGCATCGCGCGCCGTCGGATTATTCCTCGCGCGTCGCGTTTTACAGGAATTCCACCACGTGAATACAATGTTTCTTGAAAAACTGCTACGTTGTATACGTATGCGCGAACCGAGTTGTTCGAAGACACTTCCCCTTTAAGATCGCCGATACACTTCCTCCTCGTCGATTACGTGATTACATTAGTCGCGCGATTAAATAATTTTACCGAATTACACAACAATTTGTTTTCGCGTGATTAAATTAATTGATTAAGGTAACTACAGTTTTCTAGTTTGCGTTTGAGTTTTTTTTTTTTTTAAATAGTGATTTTAAAACATTCTAATGTACGAGCGTGTCCAGTTTTCGTTGTAAATCTAATAATTTAATTTTTAATTGAATGAAATTTTGAAGAGTGACAGAAGTTAAAAATTTTCAATTAAAGCGAAGACAAAATTTGATATTCAATTAAAGGGACGAGACTTTGTTAAGCCGGAACATGTTACATAGTTATACTTTGTACGATCGGCACTACAAAAACACATTTGTTTTCTTTGACTTACAATTAGGAAATCAATAGGCGTGCTATTAATATTTCGTTCTCTCGAGAAATGTCTGTTTCGTTCGCTTCGCGAGGCAAGGTGTTATCGAGCAGCTGTATAAACCTGGGCACCCTGTATCGCAGCACAGGTTTGGATTTAATCGGCGTGCGCGCCGCACACACTAACCGTAATATAATGCATACCGTAACTCTAATCGCGCGTATAAACTAAAGAGACGCGTTTTATTCGACGCGCGACGAGACACCAGTTAGTTTGCATGTGTACATACACATGATGAGCACACACACACAGAAGTGCGCTCATATTCTGTTTCCATATTTCGATCCGCGAGCAGCGAGGATTAAACAGAACTCGATTAATCGAGTCGATCGAACAATTGTGATCAGACACTTGTGTAATTTGCGATAAGTCACTGAAAAACAAATTTCTTCTTCAAAAAAAAAAAAAAAAAACAGAAATATATAATAATTGGATGGACAATATAAACCTCAGTTTTATGTTTCCATAAATTAAAACAAATCGCAACAAACAGGTCGCACCAAAGTAAGTGCGAAAAATAATCGTAACGATCTCGAATTGTATTCTTTAAATTTAAAAAATTTTCGCTGCTGTAACAAGCCGAGTAAAAAAATTAAAACTACTGGAACAACTCACCCGTACGATTTGCTTCAAAATAAAAAAACTCGCTTCTTTATTTACAGTAGATGGGTTCGCAGAAATAATCGTCTCCTCACACACACGTTTGTTGAAACAAAAAAAAAAGGGAAAAAGTGGAAATATCCTCTTCAATTACCACTAAGAGCGAGAAAGAGAGAGTTAACTGTATTGTCCGGCGTTAGCGGACGGATTAGTAGGCGCACCGACCGGCTCGCGATGTTTCATCGCAGAGAAAGTAGTCATCGCCGGCAACAATGACAGCTCGCCTGCCCTTGTCGCCCGGCGTCGTGTCGTTCGGCGCTGTATTCATCGACACGAGCGGAAAAGGGACAGAGAAAAAAAGTGCCACCGAGGAGGAACAATTAATTCGTACGCGAAACACGTACGCGCGGACTCGAGTCACGATGGAACGCGCACATCACCTTCCATCCGGTTAGGTCAAAATATTCGGCTACCAGCGACGGCGGCGAAGACTACTACAACGCAGCTATCTCTGAACGCGGCGGGATATAAATACATGCGCGGCACTTCTCGGCTGCTGATTTTAATAATTGAAAAAGTTTGATTCGTCGATATATAGTTTTCGCGTTTCCAACGAGGGCTTGTATATCATCTGTTTGTACACGTTTCCATATCTCGCGTGATAAATGGGTGGAAGATGGAAATGGGATCGCGCGGAAAACCCCCCCGAAAACCTCACGAAGGTTTCGGTAACAATCGGGGTAGCTTTTCTAACATCTTTTTTACGCTTCTCAATGTAGACAAGTTTCTCTCGCAGAGATATGTATTTTAATAACACACGCCGAAACGCGCATTACAGCGGTGAAACTTGAAAACTTTTTGCCGCCGCCATTTTTCAAGAGCCCCGTTGTGTTTCTCACATCGGAACAATGCAGCAACAGTGACCGCGGGGAGGCGGAGAATGCGCATATCGGCTCGCATAACAGAGAGCAAAGAAACTTCGTAGAAGTAGGCCGTGCAAATCAGGTGAACTCCGGAACATCTTTACTATATAACCGAGTCTATGCGACCGGTTTCACATGCTAATTGCAGAACAAGCAGCAGCTTTAGTTTCGCGCGGAGCGCAACGCGTAAAAATTCACGCCGGGGCGGGACACTGAATGAGAAAAAGGATTATCGGACAAAAACACCTTGCGAACGAACGAAAGAAATCGAAAGTCGAAAATTTCAAATTGTTGTTGGAAAAATCGACCTTTATAAGAAAGTACATATGGCGTACGCGCATTCTCGATTTTCCGCTGGAAAGATCTCGCCTTGGCCGACCTCGTTGTTAGCGCGTCTATAATTAAGGAGTGGGAGGAGCGGCAGCAATTAACTTCAATTAAAGCTCAGGTGATAAACAACAACACCTGCGATATCCTGCGGTCAACAAGTTGTTTTACAGGTCACTTATAATTGAATGATGATTAGCGCGCATTTTTATGTCGTTATCTATCCGTACAATCTAATTGCATCTTCATTAATTTCTTTTTAGAGTCCGTTTGTGAGAGTTTTATTTTCTACATTCAACGAACGCTGAATTCAATCCCCAGAGGTAATCGGCAACGGGAATGTTATCTCAAAGAGACGCTCAAAGTGACATTCCGCGAATATTTCTCGTTAGAGAATTCCCGACAGCAAAGTCTCTAATACGGACGTCAGGATTCTGCGACGGACACCGTGTGAAAAACTAAGCAACAAATTCACGAAATCACTTTTTTGCGCACAGAATCGCACTGTATCACTTTTGTGTGATTTTATTCATAATTGACACTTCGAAGAACCATAAAATTGTTATAATTGTTATAATTGTTATAATTGTTGCGCGTCGCAGTGATCGATTATCTAATTTCAATTAGCGTCGTTTTTTTTTTTTTTTTTTAGCGGAGATTAACGCCGCAATTTACACCTCGCGTTTGAAGTTACGCACAACGATCGCGCATCGAAAGCGATCGAGCGCGGATAAACGGCCTGACGCGTGTACGTAGCGAGCAAAAAGACGCGCGCACCGGCGCGAGTATAACGCGCTTATGTAACGTTTTTATTGGTAATTACCGAAACGTAAAGAAAAAAAAAACATCAAGTCGAGACATTTCGTTCACTTTTGCAAATAACAACAATTTTCGATCGATCTCCAATTGCCGTGAGTTGACGCTTTTAGAGCGGTGTTGCGAAATTTGTGCGCGCAGCTTGTGCACAAATCTTCGCACGCTAAAATTTACGCATAAAATGTTAATCAGAAATATTTAATTTTCTCGCTCAACAAAAATTAATAGAACCCGAACGAAGAATGATAAGAAAGTTGTGTTATTCTTGCACACAACGCGTATTATGTGAAACGCAATATGTAAAATGCACGTATATATCTTTTTATACATCGCATTTTGAGCGTGAAATCAAATTTCCTCCGACTCATAAATCTTTGTTATCGGAGAGAAATTCGGTTTCTTGACGTCTCGGTGTCGGCTTTTTACTGCGCCGCATCTTATCGTAATCGAGCACACGCAATCTCACACAACGTCTCGCGATAATGTAATAATAACATTATCGGCGTGTTTATTAAAGTTGTGGTACAAAGGCCTGCACCTTTGCATTTGATTTGCTCGATACGCATCGAGTGTTGATCGAAACGGTTAGTCTGGAAAAACAGAAGGAAGGGAAGGGGGGAGATGAGAAAATTGAATTTAGCGTCACACAAGCCGCGTTAAAAATATCCGTGTGTTCAATTGGATGCGCGTCGTTTGTTTAAACACACGGATTATTATTTCGCGCAAAACAATATTTCACTCATATTCCGACTCCCGCGTGTATTTTTCGATTCGCCGCAAAATTTGCCGCTTTCTTCGCCGTTTCTCTCCCGAACGATTTGTAAATTTGTACAAATGCACGTCACACACACACATACACAATCCCGGCGCATAATTATATTATAGTCGCACTTCGGACATTGTACGGAGATTGGTGCGACGAGACGACGTGGATCATTTTAAACCAGGAAATCGCACGCGCGCACCTCGCAGGATGCCGGTGCGTCAATATTGACACATTTCTTACGAAACGCGTAGAGAGAGAAACGCCGCGGTGCGCTTTCGCCGCGCGATTACCTATATGGGTAATTCTCAAAAAACGCAATCTCCGTGGGACTGTAATCTTCGTGGTATATTGACATAAAAAACATAGATAAGTGTTTTTATATTGCATAGTTACGTATTTATATCACAAATGGTGACTTAAAATGATATAAAAAAAAAAAAAAACAATTCATCGCTATTCGTTAGTTTAATAATATTTAATTTTTATCAAAAATGAAAGTTGTGAAATTTACGCGTTCACAGAGAATCATCCATATATACCTCTGTAACTACAAACGCCGAAAAAGAACTTCGATCGAAGTCAATTCGACTCGAGAATGTCGACACTGAATAAAACACATGAGATCGTAATTACGAGAATGTTACATGCGTTAAGTAATAAATTATTTATAATTACTCGTGCGCGCCGTGAGAGAATTTCTCGCGTGATTTCATTGTCCGCGTGTGTACAAATCTACACACTTTTGCGTTGTACATAAAATGATCGTAACTTAAATGAAGTTTCCGAGGTGATAACACACCTCTAGAAATGCGTTTCGCAAACCGTCAATTTGTTGACTGACAATTAGATTACCGTTGCGAGCCAGAGTGAGGTCAGGAAACAGGAAATTGATCTCGGCTAACAAACGAGTTAGATAACTTGCTTTGATAATTCATTCGTATTGATTGAAAATAATAAAAAATGACGCACAACAAAATAATAATAATAATAATAATAATAATAATAATAATAATAATTAAAAGCGATTTTGAGACAGGTCATCGTATATGTAGAGAAAATTAAAAACGTAACTAAAATCAGGAAAACGTGACAGGAAAAAGTAGAAAAACAACACGTGAAAATAACATGACTGTAATTTATATTATATATAACATTAAATAATACATATATTATATATACATATAATTTATTATATATTTATAATATTATACTTTATATTGTATTATATACTACATACTACAGTAATGTCACTGACCTCGGCCGCGCGGTCTTGGCGGGGTCACTGACCTCGGCCGCGCGGCCTTGGCGGGTTCACTGACCTCGGCCGCGCGGCCTTGGCGGGGCATTGACCTCGGCTGCGCGGCCTTGGTGGGGGAAGGCGGGTCACTGACCTCGGCCGCGCGACCGCGGCGGGGTCAATGACTTCGGTCGCGTGACTGCGGTGGAGTCACTGACCTCGGCCGCGCGATCGCGGCGGTATTACTGACTTCGGTCACGTGATTACGGTATATATATATACATATGTGCGTATGTATGTGTATTATATATAGATATAGAATATTACATATGATATATATAATATTCTCTTTTTTACCCTTTTCCCTGTCACGTGTTGTTTTTCCACTTCTCTCTCTCACTATTTTTTGAGTTTGATTTTCATGCGTTATTTCTGACATTTCTCATATGTGTATTATATGGTTTATAAGACGTATATACTATCTGTCATCGCGGTGACAGGTTGTGTTTACTGACAACACGTTAAATAACAATAGCGTGCGCGTAGCGCGCGCCTGTGTTGTGCTAGTAAGTAAAAAAAAAGAGAAATAAAATAATAGACTATCAATCAAATCTTTACGTGACGTATTCACGTAACAAATTTCGAGGGCTATATTTTAACAAACTGATTAACTTTAGTTCTGATATGCGTTCAAATGTAATTATTAATATAATCGTGTGTAAACTCTGGACAGAAAATGTTATTAACGATTTAAGTGGAAGAATTCTCAAAAAAATAAAAACATATTAAATCTAATGTTGTTTCCTTAATAAAAAAATGTTAAACAAAACTCTAATAAATTTTTAGAGGTTTTGCAACATTTCAACCAATAAAAATATCGCGTTAGACGTAAGTGTCGAGAGTTTACAAAATAAATAAAAAACGTACTTTAGAAAAACGTTTACAGGATCAGGGTTAAATTAACGCAATAAATTAAATATATCATTAGTAAAAATGTAGTATTTGATTCTTACATTTCGAGATGTGACACGTACGAGAAAAGAAGAATCAAGTATTGTTGCAGAGTTAAAGTTCTTTATTTTGTTCTTCATATACTCTTTTAACCATGTAACAACAATTGCCAAATAACAATATTGCAATATATAATTAATATATATACATATGTATATATATACGTATATCAGTAACTAAGACGCAAGAAGGAACATACACTAGTGTATAAATAAACAAAAAATTCAATGGAGAGCAATATATTACTTTGTATTTTTAATTATGTATAATAATCGTGTGCACGCGCTTTTTCGCTTATCGAACGGTAAAGTTCTTAAAATTAAAATTTTAATAACGTCAAAATGTCGTTCCGCTGATTTTATTGCTAAACTATAGCCCTGTGTGTGTGTGTGTGTGTATATATATATATGTATATATTATGCACAAAAAGAAATTGTTGATTATTCGGTTACAATTGTCTTTCTTCGTACACGCGTTAGGTGTAATGGATGGATTCTTTTCCTTTGGCCGGTGTATATGTATATACATAATATTTATTTATTTGGCGTAAAACGAAGCTATTGAAGTACAATTGTTTACAATTTTTTCTGAGTAGCACGCGGAAAAACAGTTTTTTTTACCGCGTCGCACGGAAACACTTGCACTCGTCAGTCTAAGAATTCAAAGTTAAACAAGATCGTCAGAACGAACAAATAAGTGCGAAAAAAATTTCATTTTACATCTAAAATAAAATAAAAAAACCCTGTTGATAGCGCGCTGTACATCTTTCAACGAATTCTCTTATCTCTCATCCACATCCGTGTAGTGATTGTAGCGTAACGATTGCTTCGAGGAATCACAGAAACGCAGGAATATTAATTTTTGTTTTATAAATATAACGTGCAATTGCAACAAAAAAAAAAAGAATATAACAAACAATTGCTTCCAAAGCGTACGTAACTAGTAACACTTATAAGATAATTATTGTTCTTAATTTTGTGCACGACAATTAAGTAGAATTACGAATATAAATATTGTTTAGGATATGTCGATTTGATTTGTGCACTTAAAAACACGTTGTCATTTCGCTGACATAACAAATTGCGAGAGAACAAATTATATAAACGAGACTCTAAACACAATAACTTTATCATTCAACACATGAGAATGATTAACGTTAATATAAAAAATGTTAACGACATTTAACTAACAACGTAAAGTATATGTAACAAACAGTATAAGAGAAACAACTTGCGCATATAAAAATATATTACACATAAACGTTCTGGCCACGTTTGTTTGTTTTTTTTTTTATCAAAAATGTTTGTAATTTTTTGTTTTTCGAATAATTTTACTACTTGTGTGTCTCACCTCTCTAGATATATCGATATTCTTATATTTATAAAACTATTAAATTTTTTTTTTTTATATATATATAATGAAATATATACGTTGTACTATTTATCACTAATGTAATTCATAGAGAAGTGTTTTTTTTTGGTTTTTTTATATGCTCGCAGAAGATTTCGCAGTGAGTAGAATTTGCAATAGAATCAAAATCCTATATACGTTATAGTTTGTTTAGCACTGTGAAGAGTGAACAATTTTTGACAAGTCACACGAAGTGTAAACTTGCAATTGTTTAGGCGTAAAAGCGTTTTCGAGAAGTGAAGTTCGAGAAATATACGTATTGAAAAATGTAAATATAAAATATGTTACATATAAATTCTAGTGACGTTTTAAAACTGGTTATATAAGTAGAAATACACAAGATATCCTGCTCTAAGATAAAATCATTTGATTTTTCTATTTATCAAATAATTAATGCGATACTTATTAATCGTCGATTAATTCTTATCATTGTCATGTGAGCGGATTGTATAAAATAATAAAACACTAGTAGAAACTCGCTTATTAGTATGGCCACGAAACAAACAAGGAATCAGCATCGAAATGCGCGAAAAACGTTTTTTTAAAGCTTCTGGATAGCGACTGTGGACGTGGTTTGTCCACGGGAAATATCAATTTACGTATCGAAAATCTCTTACGTAAATTGCAACATTTTTATCTCGCGCTCGAACGTCGAGGAGCTTAAGATAAATCAAGTCGTTCGATTAGAGATCAGGACGTGTGTATTAGCGTCCTGACTTGTTTTGATATGCTATTAAAAATTGTGAATTTTTCTACTTAGACCTAGGAAAAAGGGGGAATGGTTCGTAAGTTTTAATTGATATTACGAAGAACACGAACAGTAGAGAGTAAGCTCTCCTACAAGGATGTCGATAAATTCGAGTCGCTATATAAATCGCACAATGAGTACAATCTTCTCGGATCTACTCGTCTATAAGAAAACGTATAATTAAGTGTATATTCTCTGTATATTTTTCTATATCGAAAATTTTATTTCCTACGCTTTTTCTATTTCTCTTTTTCTCTTTCTGTCTATTAACTCTCTATTCAAAATAGAAAACTTCTTGCGTATTTGATTAGCTTGTACCTCGAGTAATTCTTTTTTGTATGTCTATAAATCCTGACCATATTATGACGCGTAAAGACCGCTACTCACGTGCTTTTTCATCATATTCATATTGTCTCGTATTTTGTATTTTACGAGAGATTTTTCGTGGATAATGACAATAATATTAATAGCGACGAACTGTACTACTTCGCGCCCGAGAAATACCGGTTCATTGTAAACTGAATCTGCTTAAATCTTCAAATCTGGTCGCGCGAACGTTAATCTATGATATTCAAGCAGAAAACCGTCTACTCTCAAGTGTCAAAACTCATCTGAAACTTGCACGGTCAATATACTTAAATTCATGGATTTCTATTACGTTACGTTTAATCGTGCGCGAAGTGACAAAACTCGCGACTTCAATTCTGTCGATAAAGCTGCCGTTTTCCGATACTCAATGCCCAGTGTGACGAATCTACGACACAAATCCAAGATTTTTTTGCAGTATACCGGCGATGAATATCGGAACTTTGCAGTCAAGGTATACTAAGAGAGCGCGCATTATGCAATCACAGTGTTTCTATGGTGTGTGTATACATATATATGTATATATATGTATATATATATATATATATATAAATTTGATTCCTAGATAAGGGAATTCTTTTACAAGTATATTTTTTGCTCCTCGCAAAGATTATGAAATCGAAGGATAAAATGGCGTGAAATAATGTCGTTGAGTGCTTGTGATATGCGATATTACCGTACGCGTACGTTTCTATAAATAAAACGTGGATCACGAATAAACGTGGTTTATCACTGCTGAAAGCGTTTGGGCAAATATTCTCAATCTTGTTATCTCTGATTTTTTCCTACCATTATTAGATAAGATATCTCTCTGGAATATATATTTGGATATTATTTCTTTTTAAATTTAAAACAACGTCTCCGACATGTGTCATTGTTAAAATATAGTACCACGTACTAGTAAAAAATTCATATAAATTCAGAGAACTTCTTCAGAGAACGTTTCATCCTTTACAAATCCTTTTGTTTGTTTGTTTGTTTTTTTTTTGTTTCCTATTATAACGTTTATATTATAACGGTTCTCGATAAATTTTGTTTTTTGGAGACAAGAATTATTCTAGAGAAATATTGAACGTTACGTCTAAGTATTCAAGCGACATTTGTATTGCTACGGCAACAATGGTGTCTGTTCTTTCTTCGTTCTTTATCGAAAACATAGAACCGTTTTGTTAGGCTGCTCTGTTGACTCGCTGCCGCAGAGAACGGATATATTGCTTCGTAATTCAAATTACCGCTCCTTACGCGATCTTACTTTTTTTTTTTTTTTGTTCTCGTTAAAACTCCCAGGACGTGTAAGTCGCTGTCCAGGGTGTGACAACGGTCCAAGGCGGAAACTGCGCCAAAAAGTTCTTGAATCTCAGAGATCGTTGGTGCTCGCCGTGCATGAAATGCCCGGCTAACGCTATGGTTAAATATGGTCCTTTCTGCACCGCAGACACCTGAAGTAACACACATAATTCTCGCGATACCGCTTGATAAAATACTTGCGTAACGCGATAAAAAGATCGAAAAAAAAAGAGAAAAAACGAAACTTTTCGGAAAAAAAACACTTACGTTCAACATGATAGAAAATGTATATGGCACACAATCTGAGGCACATGCATAATAAATAAAGTAAGTCTCTCGGTTGTTCCACACTGGACCTTGCAGCGGTTTCTCGTCCAGTATGGACCACTTTTCTAAACGAACATCTTTGTACGGGGACAAAATTATAGCTATGTGGTCGGGCCCTGAAAACGCAAATATGTTTGTACGAAACAAATTTGTAATTGTCGTTTATCTTACAGACGAGAGCGTTTCTTACCGGTAACGTTAAAGGTGAACGTGACAATATGCTGCTTCGCAGTCCTCGAAATGAGTTCGAGATTTGTGGGAACACGTATGAGCGGAGCGGGTCCGGGTATCCAACTCGTTTTCCTTAAAAGACAAAAATATCGTTTTCAACTTGTTTGGTTTTTTTTTTTTTTCAGAAGTAAAAAGAGATTGTGATACGTAAGAGTGAGTGATACGCACCACAAGAAGGTCGTGACCGGCATCAAATATGGGAAGCCGCAATACAATTCTCTCTCGCAATCCTTGACTGTTGGCGTCGCGGCGGCCACTTCAGGTACTGTTGACTTTATGCTGTGAGGACTATTCATATCTAAATCCACCAGCCAATATCCCGTGCCGGAATACCTAACGCTACCGTCCAAGTTATAATACTGGCGTTGACTATGCTACAAATTAAAGCGCGATGCGATATAATATAATTGTCTGCTACTTGGCACGTAAAATAAAAAAACTCGCAGGCTTATATTATATATTATATATTACCGCGATCATGAATCGTTGTGGAGCGGGCGACAGTGGATCGCCGCTATAAGGAAATCCAAGCGGTGTGAAAATTACCACAGTCATAGCAAAAAAGAAAATTCCAGCTATGCGAACTAAAACTTGTTCTGCATTCTTTACTAGAAGCACTATCGGCAGCTGAAATTATCGATACGGAATATATTGAATAAACTAACAATATTATACGCAGTGTGTTATGTAAAGAGAAGTTTACGTAACAAATTGTAATTTAAAAAAAAACATTTACGTAAGTTAAAAAAAAAAAAGTTTACGTAATAGATGTTACACGCACACATACGTTCATATAATTAAAAATACGCACATACGTGACACACGCAAATATTAATTGCTGATATATATATTTACCGTAAAGCTAAGTAAGTTGGAAAACAATATCGACAACATGTTAGCCATCACGATTTCGGAATTAATACTGCCACCGGATCGTCCCATTATCGGAATGAAGAGATAGAGAGCACCGAGTGCCAAATAAAGTGACTGTATGTAAGACAAACTCAATGTTCCCAAGTGATAACAAAGCCATTTCCAATCTAGAAAAAGTTCGTAAAGCGTATTGTTAAGGATTAATACGGTTTTTTTTTTTTTTAATTCTCACATAAAATTATTATAAAACGTCAACGTGATTCGGTAAACTCGCATGTGTATCTTACCTCTCCATTTGTTGAAGAAATTGTGTCGCACGATATTCCCGACTGCCGGGAACAAGACCCAGTGGAGCGGTATGAATCCCGATCGTATCTCGAACAAGACGCACACGAAAAGAATCGACATCCATATCAGAGCGTACGCGTCGCAGTACAACTGATAAACAATCCACGCGGAGTTAACTTCCTGCAATATATAAATTTTTTTTTCGGTTAATATTGATATATACGTGAGATATATCTTATTTACACGCAAAAATCCATTAAAGATTTATGTACGCGTTATCTCGCGATCGCTTGCCTTTCTTTGTCTCGATCCGATCAGCAGAAACACGGTCATCGACACGAAAACGGTCGGGCAAACGTACAGGAAGAATAGCCACGCCGGTCTCGCGTACCAGCTCATCACTTTTCCCACCTTCGTCAGGAACAGAGCGATCAACGAGCAGAAAAACATGGACGCCAACCAAGACAGAACGATCACTCCGACGCACATCGTCATGTACTTCATATACATCGCTTTCTTAAGATCTGCATCAATACAAACGGAAACACTCAGATATGTTTGGAAAAAAAAAATAAATAAATAAATAAATAAACAAATAAACACGAACACCGTAGAGAGATCTATTCTACGAACTCCGGATCTGAATAATGATTTATATATTCTTACTTCTACGTGCACTCTGCATATTCAAATGAATAGAGTACCCAGCTATGATTATACTGGCGATATTAACTGTACTGGCGATGTACTGCGGCCACCTAATGACAAACGCGCCCAGAAAGTCGAAGAACACGAGACTACCCTGAGCGTCTTGCATGCTCGCGTCCGACAAGTAATCCTCGAACACTATTCCTTGCGTCAGAGCAAGAATGTTGTCGCCGGTTCTTTGTAACGCTCCCAACGGTATCTGATCAACGTTATCGAACTTAGTGTGATACACGTACCCGTTCTTTGACCAGGCAAAGTCAAGGCCTACGTGAAATGTTACACATGCGTTAATAAGCTTTCTGTAACAGTGGAAACGTTAAAAAAATACAGAGCTACGTTACGATCGACAATTTCGTTACGAACCGGAAACTTTTCCGAAATCTCGAAATATTCGAAAATCCGTGTCGCCGGGCACAATGCCGCTCTCGAATATCTCCTGCGCCAGTGACGACGCGTAAGGATACGGCACGGATTTTGCGTAGACCTGTGAAAAGTAAATGAAACATTGAGATGTGCCCTGCGACTGCATAAACAGGCAAATAAGAACCACGATGCAATGCAAATAAATTCAAACGCGTAACACGTTTCGAAACTCTTCGACTTTGATATCATCAGATCAGTCATTGAAATACACTTAAATCGAACGAACACTTCATAAATTAATTATAATACGATGCGATACTTTACATCAATATATTACGTAACTTAATAAACGTGTATACTATCACGGGTAGACATCTTCAAAAGATTACACGTTTGATTTTATTTGCATCCCGTTCTCGGTTTCCATTTGCCGTAAAGCAAGTTCTCAGCGCCTTGCAACAAAAATAAATAATAAAACGAGGAACGAGGATATTAGATATTACCTCGAGGATCCAAGGACTATGCGGACCGGCTTGAAACAGTAATTCGCGACCGCCCGCGCCACAAGCCTCTAAATTTATAAACGTTCGAACTTCCTTCGCCCATGGATGTTGCGTTATAAAACCGTGTGACGCCTACAAAGTATACAGTTGTGGGAAGATAATTGCTCGTATTAAATGATCTATTTTAGAGCAAAACAACAAAATGAATTAACATACCTGCAATATATTTTCTTCCGCTCCGTTAAACAAGAATACGATGCTGTGCTTCAACATTTTTGAACTTCTGGTGATAATTCGCAAAATTTCAAGCATTACAGCACAACCAGCACCGTCGTCCGAGCCACCTGTATGTGAAAGAATTTTGTTTCATTTATTACGTACTTAATTGCAATTGTGTTGCGCAAGCAGACACAAGCTTATCTGATGGTGTCACGCAATTGGTATTTTTACCTGGACTTTCTAAAAATGTGTCGAAGTGACAATTGAGCAGCAAACTGTGCATCGTGGGTCTGTGGGGTCCAACCTTGACAATAACATTCTGCACGTTTCTGTAAACGTTGGTCATACCGTCGAGAAACTTGAGCGGAAACGCGCCGCTATGTCTGGTTACGTTACGAACAATTCTGTGATTCTCGTGAGCCGTTTTCACGATGTCATCGATCGCGGTCGTGAAAAATTTCACGGCCAGAACTTCGTTCTCGTAGCTCCCGGCTATACGAGGCCCGATCGACGTTAGATTCACAATGTGATTGCGAGCCCGTTCGGCCACAAATTTACCGGGATGCGAGCCCTCGTTAACGATTGTTATCGGTTCGGGTAAATTTTTTTCCATTACGATTATTATGAGCGACACGAAGAGAAAGAACACGAGAACGAAGTAAAGATGTTGCTTCTCGTTTGGCAGTGGAACGTGCTTCTCCGAAACGGCCTCATTTTTGAACGGCAACTCGGTCGATCTTCTTCTCGCCAGGTGTTGTCTCAATCTTATCCCGTCTTTCTGAAACTTGAATTGCACCGTCTTACTATGACGTAGTTTTGCTTCGCGACGAACCAGAAGTTATATATCTTGCGAAATCGCGGCGCGAGCGAAATCAGAAATCACGGATCCGAATTAGAACGTTCTATGAATGAACTTACCATTTTCTGCGATACAACGTCGTTGGACAGGGAAAAGGCACTTCGCAACGCCGCGCGAGCACGACCGTCGAATTTCGTCACGTCCGAAAATCAAATCGAGAAAACACCACGTTCACTCGGGTCTCGCACGCCGCATCGAAAGGCATATAGCGCGAGTCGCACTGCTCCGCATTCAGGCCCGCACACACAGCCCCGCTGTGCAGTAATGTTCGCGCCTTCGCGACAGAAACGGGAACGATGTGGCGCGATCAGACTGTAGATATATATATATATATATGCCTTATCTCTCTCTCCCTTCTTTCCCCTTCCCGTTATCTTTTCATCTACTGTATAAGCTATCAGTTTCTACTTTTGCTCTACTACTGTCTTACTTATTGTCTTATCAAATTTGCTGTTTTTAAAATTGCTCGGTTGTAATTTCTTTTTTTTTTTTTTTTTTTGTATACGTTCTATGTCTCTATATTAAAAAATACCTTTTTTAAACGCACAGTTTGACTGTCAAATATCTGTACGGAAAGTAGTTTGGAGAGTGAACACAGCTGGTTTTCCTTGGATTCTCCCTTTTTTTATTTCGCGTCTCCGGAGTCGCGCAGCGATCGATTAGGTCGGGTCGCCCGCGTCGTCGTCGCTCTCTTTAAAATTTAATTTATTCTCGCAGTGATAATAACCGTAATCGTCACATAGGCGGGAATTCAATTCGACGAAGAAGATCCCACGCGCAGAAAATCGCTCGGTTTGCTTTCTAATGAACGCCCGCAAGCGCTCGATTGTCGTTTGTGCGCCGTGACCTCGCTCGATATATACGTCTTCGCAGCTGATACGTATCGTGCATCGTATTATTATACTAATCAGTTTTAATTTATACGCCGACGACGGACTTGGCGAGAAATCTTTGCGCTCGGAATCACGAATATCGCGCTTTTGTGTGTCCTATGCATGAAACCTCGTCTTCCCAACCCTGGAACAACAACAATCGAATGAAAAAAAAATAATACAAATGTGCGTATCTCCTGTATAGAGTAATTTATTTAGAGAAAATAATAATTTCCGAGAAAACACATTACAGAAAAAATGTATAATAAATCTAAAATAAAAGTAAAATAAATATAAAATAAATTTAAAATAAATGTAAAACAAATGTAAAATAAATTGAGAGGAATTTGTTGTAATTAATTGTTAATTAATATACACCACATATAAAAACAAACGCGTAATTTCTTAAATATTCATTTAAGTTCACATGAACTTTCCATCCCACATCGATGATATCTCATCATCATATCGTTAAGTCCATTTGTTATCATAAAAAAAACTCTTAAATAATAAATTTGTTACATCTGTAAACACATCGCGATAAGAAATCGCACCAAATCGATATATTTGTCCAAACCGAAATTGATATTAATTTTCGTATCTAAATAAGACACATTAAAGTTATCTCTGCGAGAGATAAACGAAAAAAAATTGAATTTGCGATCACAAATCTGCAATTGTAGCAAGTCACGATTGGCGTTTGTGTATGTTTGTGGTATGTGAAATATCAGATTTGCGCGTTTCTCTTATCTTAACGTATATGTCTATTTTCAATGAATAAAATAAACTAATACGAGATCATCATTATCACTAACCCTAATTAATTCACGTTGGAAGGGAGAACAATATTATTATTTTTTTTACATTATTATTATGTAAATTACGAGAAAACGTCGTCCGCGAAGTAACCACCTCCGTCGTGTCTTCTGTTGCCGCGCAACTGTCACGTGTCGACAAGTCACGTGACTGACGATCAGGCCTACCATCACCAACACACATCTGTATTGTCGATCGTTACTCAAGCGAGAGTACGACCAATCGCGTTGTTGACAAAATTTTTGATCTATTTGAATCGACTGTTTTTCACAAAACAAAGGTCGTTGTTTTTTTGTTTTATTTGATATTGATTTGATTTTACTTGTAGGCCCGAATTTGCAATTAATTTCGTTGATTTTGGCCAGATACGACCGACGCGATTTCGGTCACGGTCGTTACAAGCGCAAAACCTAACTTAACCCCAGAAACGCTGGCGACAAAAGAGTCATCTGGGAGAAGTGCGACAAATTAAATCACCGCATTCTTCCCAGACAAAACGCGGACGAATCTCGCGTTGAGAGACATCTGATGCCGGATCATCGAAGACTTGGGAAAAGTTCGAGATTGCTGAGATTCCTCTTCAATTGCTCAGCATTGTATACAACGCGCAACTTGTACATCGATTTAACCTCCGATCGAGAAAATTCGTTCTCATTTGTGCGCCTTATTTGTGTGTCTGATTCGAAACGATGAACGACACGAATAACAAAGCGCAGGTTCAATCGAACGAGGAGGTCGTCGAGGAACTCACCAGAGATCTGAAGAGTTCTTGCATCGAACCGAACGAAAACTCGTCGACGAACGTTCCGTCGTCTGACGCGAGATCGAGGGACGCAGCCGACGATGATTCGTGGAACATTCCGGACGAGGAACACACCGCAGAGAGTAACAACGAAAACGCACAAAACACGGATCCGGAAGAGGTAATCGAAAACTTACTCAAAGACAGAGACTCGTCGCTTACGGAGTGCGAAAAAGAGGTATGTTTATATATATATGTCATTTGTGTGTATGCGGCGCGCGTATACAAGTAACAATACTGCAGCAATTCCCATATTCAACAGACGTTGAAGTGCGAAGCCGAAACTCGAAAACAGGCTGGAAATGACTTCTATAAAAAAGGTGAATACGTGGAGGCGATATCGCGGTATACAGAAGGATTGCAAACCTGTCCTCTGGTGTACAGTAAAGAAAGATCTATATTATACGCAAATAGAGCGGCAGCGAAAGCAATGTGTCAGGTAATGATGGAAGATGTGAGACAACAATTGATATTTACTGAGTTTATAATTTTCATTTATTAAAAAAAAAAAAACGAAAACAACTAATTTTAAGATATTTTTAATTTTAGACAGAAAAGGATTCGGTGATATCTGACTGCACAAAGGCTATTGAATTAAATCCTAGCTACGTGAAGGCTTACGTACGAAGAGCACAAGCTTACGAGGAATCGGACAAGTTGGACGAAGCTTTAGAGGATTATAAGAAAGTACTGACATTCGATTCTAGTCACAAAGAAGCCAATCATGCCGTTATGGTAATGTTCAATCATAGTAGTCACAATATGTTACGCATTTAAATATATCTATTGGTTTGTCTATTAATTATTTTTTGTTCTTCAGAGGTTACCGCCGTTAATTGAGGAAAGGAATGAAAAGTTGAAGATGGAGATGTTGGGTAAACTCAAAGACCTAGGAAATATGGTATTGAAGCCGTTCGGCCTTTCCACGAATAACTTTGAATTAGAAAAGAATCCCAATAGCGAGGGTTACTCTGTAAAGTTCCGCCAGAACCCCACGTAACAAGCTGGTTATATATGATTCTTATTATTTAAAAAAAAAAAAAAAAAAAAGGGAACTTGCGGATATAAATCCTTTTTCCTTATAAATTATTGAAGCATTTATATATTCTATAAATAATATATGAGTCCTGTAATGTGGATTTCATATATTTCGTTTTCTTTAGTTCTCTCTAATAAAAAAAAAAAAAAAACAATTATGGATATTATATGAGATACATGTACATGTATATATTTACATAGATAGTAACAAGTCAAAGAGTTATCCAAACTGTAGACGTAGATCCTGTCATTTCTGAAAAATTCTGTTTCGTCAATTGCGAAATAATGTGTGAAAAACGAGACCGTTTCAAAATATTTCCTTATATTAATCGAATCTTTGCGGCGGGCAAACACATATCGCGACATCGAGGCGTTATATTTGACGATGCTAGACCGGATATAGATTGCGGTTCAATAATAAAGAACTTTTGCGGAACTCTTCGATAATTTTAGCCGCAGTTCTTTTATTAGACTCTCGAACGCGGCCGGACAATGTTCTCAGGAGGTCAACGACCACGCGCAAGATCGCGAAGCATCGTCGAAAATTGTCAGTCGCGTACGATATTAATAAAAACCATATTTCTAACGCGCTCAAATGTGCATCACCAAGTATCGACACTTTATTTCAGGCGGTAAAACTATGACATTATCCATTTATCCCCTTCCCCTGTGTGTAACAAATGATCGGCCAAACGATCTGCAAAAGTCTGCGGAAGAAAGAAGTTGCGCGCACATAAACGCAATGGAAGCGTCGTTGCTTCCAGTAGTAGGATTTGGAAGTACGAGAAGCGAATTGCAAACGCGTGGACGGAAAAATAAAAGATGACGACGACTATTACGTGTGCAAAAAGTATGAAGTAAAAAAAGAAGAGATGAATATTGTTGGAAATATTGTTGTATACTTTTTCTCTGTATAAATTTGTGTTTTTCAAGCGCTCTTGTGAGCACTAATTAATTAAAGTGTTAAGAGCGTCAAGAGAAAGATATATATATATATAGAGAGAGAGAAAGATTCTTAATTGCGCGAGGGCGGCGAGTAAGCACCCCGGGCAGGCGCTGTGGCCGCGGATGTAGGTGGGAGAGACATCGCGGCATCGCCGCGCGGGAGTTCCGAAGCGCGTGATGATGAGAGCGCAACGTCAGTGAACGGGTAAAGGACGAGAGGGAAGGATCGTATTACGTACGCGCGCGATGGCCGTGCGCGAGGCGCCGAAGAAGCGCCGTAACAGTTGAGGAAACGGCCGAGTTTGCAGGGTGTAAATTTATACACACACGCACACACGTACATACATGCACGTATACAATAAAACTGTGTGTTTTTCGCTCGATTCTGTTCTGACCGACTGTCGAGGAGGAACCGGACGACGCGCGGCCCGTTTCGACGAAGAACTCGCTCGAATCGATAATTTGAACGCGATGTCGGACATCGTGGCGACATAAGAGGCAACCCCCGTAACATAAATATCTTGCCGGAGAATACGCGAATATATAACAATCAACCTCGCGCCCACGCACACTCCGCTCTTCTCTTTCTCTCTCTCTCGCGGAATATTACGCGTCGAGACGATAAAGACCCGCGAGCGCGCGACCATCAACCACCTCCACCGCCGCCGCCGTCGCCGCCACCACCACCACCACCGCCACCGCCACCCTTCTCTCGTTATTCATCAGCGCCGCGCTACCTATATCCGGCGCATCGACGTACACCCTCGGTCTTCCGGTTTGGAGCGGGGTTTCGAGCGGCCACGGCACACGGCGGACGACGACGATGCACGGCGTTAAAGGGGTAAGCCGGATATACAATGATGTGAGAGCGCGCGAATTTTTTCTCCGATCGCGTCTCGAGAAACCCCGGGACTCAATCATCGGACGGATTTTTTTTCGGTCGGAGCGAGAGAGAGTCCCGGTCTCGCACAAGCAGGGAAGGTCTCTTCTCTCTCTCTCTCTCTCGTCCCGTTCCCGGCGTTCGTATGAGCGGAGATCCCCGTCATCCCGGTTAGTTTCGCGAAAGAAAATTGCGAAACACAAAAAACACGATAAAGAGAATTCGCGTCTCGCTCCGTGTTCTTTCGTGCGACAGATTCGTAGTCGTCGTAGTTGCGAGCGTAAAATCGCGTCGAATATATAAATGCGCGTAAATAATATTTGGAAGCGGACGCGAAAAGAGACGTCGTGTAATATGGTGTAACTGGGACGCGAAAACTGGGATTCCCTTTTTTTTTTTTTTTTTCGACGGATATATATATATATATACGCACGCGATCTCTTTCTTCGCTGCAACTATTCGCGGAAACGTTTTCAATAGAAAAAGTGTGAAAGAGAGATAACGTGATAACCTTTTTGTACCGACTCTTCTTTTTTTTTTTCCGCTCCGCCCCAGCTCTCTCGGAGAGATCCAATTAAAAGTTTATTTAATACAGAAAAAAAAGAGAAAAGTGTAATTAAACTCTTTTTCTTTTGACAATGTGAAAAAAAAAAAAAAATACGACGACCACACTTGACGGAAAAAGAAACGCACGTAACGCGAACAAATCGCGTGACTTTGCGTTTTCTCGAAGAGATCCGAGAAGAGAGAGAGAGAGAGAGAGAGAGATGTTCTCTTTATCGCCCGGGGAAACACAAATTTTCGTACGAGAGATTCGGACCGTCGGTCGTCCTAAGTTCGATTGTGAGTATTCGAACGCGATTGAAGGTATTTAATTCAAGCGAAACAAGTGAATCACGGATCGCGTACAACACGTTCAACAATGTAATTTTGTCAGCTGCAATTTTGCGGTTGTTTAAATCGGGGAAACATTTTGCGCGGAGACACGGGATTGTTATGTAACAAACGACGTGACAAATAACGCGCGCGGACGGATAAAGATCTGATAAATTTCCTACGTTGACAAAAAAGCGATCGCGTAGCTAGATTTCCAATAGTAGGTCAACGTCATACACCTTGCAACGCAATCGTCTTATATATATATATAATGTGTATATATACATAGACACACACACGCGCGCGCGCGCGCGCGTTGAATTAGAATCGTGAAAGAAAATTTCGTGTGTGAAAACACGCTATTATTAACATCGCGTTATTTTAATCTCTCCATCGTTTTTTCTGCGAAGTCTATAAATGCACATCTCTTTTTTTTTTACGGACCATACACGTTTCATTTATTTAAGAAACGCGAGAAAGGGAAGAAAAAAAACTATGTCAATGTCATCGGTAACGTGTCCGATGGGACTCGAGTTTTCCCGTGGGAATTACGGACAATATTGAAAATGAGCGTTTAATTACAAATATTGTGCCACACACAATTGCGGCGTATCTCGATCGATTGATTTAATAATCTCTTTCTCTCTCTCTCTCTCTTTCTTTATATATATTTGTAGTCTCTCGCATACGTGAAATTTGGAAAGTTGTGTTTGATCGTGTGCAAATGTTAATCATAAGCAAACAGAGAGAGAGAGGGAGAGAGAGAGAGAGAGAGAGTGCTCCGTCGAAACAGCGGATTTGCGCATCGGACTGTGTGCATTTCACGCGCGCGCGTGGGCCGCCCGATAAAATACTAATATTTCGGCGTTAATTTCATATCTCGAAAATTGTACTTACAGAGAGCAGACGTGTTTGGTTAAAGCGAAATGCATCGCGAAAATTGCGCTCTGCGCGCACACATATATATATATGTATATATACATATATATACATGTGTACGCGCGACGCTTGCGGAAATATATCCGGATACGCAAAATTTGCAATTGAATAAAATTGCAAATAGAGATTCCAATAAAAGTGAAAATTTGACGTGAAAAAGTTGTCAGTTTTAGCACACAAAAAAGGAACAAATTTACGTTTGTTAAAACATTTATTAATATTTTGCATTTGACGTTTATTATAATACTTTTTATATTAATTTTTAATATAAATAACTTTGCGTTCTTTAATGTTTGATAAATTCGCGCGCAAATTGAAAAAAATAACGCTGACGAAGTGACGAAATTAGAAATAAAATCGATTTTACGATTTGATCTCGGTGCTGATGCATTTTTTACGAAAAAAAAGGGAGAATGCACGTGTATTCCGCGTATCGTTAATTTCGCCTCGCAGCAATTAGACAATTAATCCGATACCGGAATCGGGCGCACGATACGAATGCGCCCTTCTCCCGTCACCCCCCCGCAAATGGATTGCATTTGCCGAGGAGATTACACGTGTGCTGCATTTCGAGCTTTCTTCTTCTCTCTCTCTCTCTCTTATTCGTCAAGACACTACCGTGGTCACAACGCGGTCAATCCTTTGATCTCTAATGAATCGTGCGCGGCGTCGTTGCGACGATTGCGTAATACGCTACGAATTATTCCTCATTAGCATATACGCGATTAAAAATTATCACGAAGCCTTCCGGCGCCGAATGCACTAAGCGTGATTACGTCCTCTACAATATATACATATATATATATATATATACAATACGTACACGTTATACATGTAACACGGTGTCACCCACGCGATAGTTTTGTTCCGTGTCTCACGTCGCTCATGTGACACACATATCGCGGCTCGTAATTGCGTTACGTTTATAAAAATGCGAACTATTGTGTATTGTGTGACACGCGTTGTGTCGAATTCGTTCCGAATCCTCGCGTGACGGGGGACGACCTCTCCGATTGTTGATTGGATTTGCGCACGCAATACCGAGAAACAAATAAAAAAAAAAAATATATAAACTATTTCCGAGAAAGAAAAGGTTTAATTCCGGCGCGTGTGTATAAGCGGCGGCGTCGAGAATATAAACACGACGTCTACGTGCACAGGAGACGACGCGACGGGGGTGTGCTTTTCTTATCGGCACACAGTTTACGCATGCGACAAAGTGTCATCGATTTGCTCGCTCGCGTCGCACGCTTGATGACACGGTTCGCGCATCACACGGATACATACATATATATATATATATAGTCTCGTTGAGAGAGACCAATTATACACGCGTGTATATATTTACGCGCGATTGTCATCTACGCGTATTGTCCCGCTCGCGACAGACACGCGCGCGGACCCCGCGCGATTTCTTCAGATCTCGCGCGCGCGCGTGCGCCCGACGTATGTATGTACGGTACAATCTCCACGGAGAAGAGTCGAAATTTAGATCGCAATTTTGATCGCGTATCAAATATATCGACAGACCGACCCTTCTCGAGTTGATGGGTTCGCTTTTCCGATGGAACGGAGCCGAGCAATAAAGCGCGCGACAACTTTGCGCAAAAGTCGAATATATTATACGGAAACTCGCCGCGCGATGAAGTATCACCCGTCGAAGGTCGTCTTTGTGTAACATAACGGGCACCCTCGATTGATCAACCGGATTAAATTGATCTCTGAAAACTGTTTTCCGCGTGTTTGGTTTGCGCGAACACGAGCCCTCGCTCGTGTGTTTGTTGAGAAAACACGTAATTAAAATAATCGAGAATACACAATCGTCGCATTGTAGGCGTTCGTCAAGCGCGTTTTTTTTCCAAGGTTTTCTCAGCATATTTATATATTTGCGTAATATTGAGATCGTGTAAATTTTTCACAATGTAGGGCATTTCGCAGCGCGACACACACGATCGAATCATTTTACTAATGACGTAGTCGATTTATTAATTACTGCGACCGATTCGTGTTTCAGTCGCAGACGATGAGACGCAGGCAGCGTCGCAGGAAATGGCCCCTGCAATTGGGCCTCTTCCTGATGTACGTTCTCGTGCAGTTCGCCACTTCCACCACGTCGCCGAAACCCACGACGACGACAGCGTTGTCTAATTTCAAGATAGAGGAAACGACGATCTTTGAGAAGAACGGAGAGATAATCAAGGAGAGGATAGAAGTTATGAAGAACACGACGTTCGACGAAAAAACGGGTAAAATAAAAGAAGAGGCTGAAGTCACATTAGAAAAGACTTCAGTGTATAACATGACAACGACGCTGCCGCCGAAGGAAAGCCAGAAAGAGAATACAACAGAGAAACCTGTTCCGACATCCGTCCCTGGTAAAAAGGAAAATCAATCGAAGGAAAACGAGACGTCTTCATCGAAGCACAATCGAAGCACCACCACCTCCACCTCCATCACAACTACAGTAAGTGACGAACTTTCATCGTCTAGTGTATATTACGTTGGGACACCGCGTGTATGTACATATTTATCTCACGCCGTGAGATGGACCGTAATGTCTCTCGGGAGGAGAGACGAGATTAGAAATGTTGGATTTTATATCGTATCCAATGTGAAAATCAAAATGCGGCTACTGTGTGTGTGTGTGTGTGACACACGATGCACGTTGCAAGCATTGCGTAACGCACACTTGCGTAGCAGATGCATCAGCTGTCCGTTTTAGCGAGCGATCAACACGATTGATCCTCGTCGTGTGCGATTTCATGAGAATTTTTGCAAAGAATTGTGTTCATGTAGACCTCCAAACCAAATCGTGTAACATATGTATGTGGAACGATTTCTCGTTCGATCTTTGTAATTTTCTCTCGAACTGATTCAGACCAGTCCGACCGCTCAGATGACCACGACGAACTACCCGTACCCGACCTTGAGACCTCGGAGAACGAATTGCACGGCGCCCGCGATAGAACAGTTTCCGCGACCGCTGATGGGTCCCGAGGCTCGGAAACACGGCGGACTCATAATACACATCGTCGTTGCCTTCTACACGTTTCTGGGCCTAGCTATCGTGTGCGACGACTACTTCGTCTCGAGTCTCGACAGAATCTGCGAAGGTGACGTCTCATTACTCGAATCTTCCTCTCGCGGAAACGCGTAAGATAATAAAGTAACGTATTCGTGTCAAGAGAAAGAGAGAAAGAGAGAGAGAGAGGTTGTTGTAACATTACGCGCGGAAATTTCTACGCAAGAAGATTGTGTTTCGCTACACAACGGAACAGACTTTTTTTTTTTCTACGTATCGCACGTTGTTGTTTCTCTGGTTGTGCGTTTTGTTCAGATAAAAACAACCGGACTCGTTGCGAAGACAAAGACTTTTCGACCACTCGATCGTGGCTCGTTTTTTTATCTTTTTTGCAATTATTATTCTAAAAAATCGTTTCTCTTATTTTTTTTCAGAATTAAGACTGTCTCCCGACGTCGCCGGAGCGACTTTCATGGCGGCCGGTTCTTCCGCGCCCGAATTAGCGACGGTGATCATCGGCGTGTTTTTCGCCAAGGATGACATCGGAGTAAGTGTGTAATAATCACAATCGCGTAATCACACGCCTCGATGCCTACGTTAAACAACACCAGAGCGCGAACTATGAGACGCGCGCAGCGAAGTATTGTATTGTTTTTTTTTTTTTTTTTAGCCGCGAACACACGTCAGTGTCGCGTTACGTAAATGCGAGCGAACATTTATTCGCGTTCCCGGCTACGACACTTGAGAGCGAAAAAATAAAAAAAATTCGATAATCAAATCTCTCTTGTTCTGTGCAATTTCAGGTGAGCGGCGTTATCGGTAGCGCCGTGTTCAACATAATGTTCGTTATATCGATCTGCGGCCTGTGCACGTCAACGGCCACAAAGTTGAACTGGTGGCCTCTCTGTCGAGATTGCTTTTTCTACGCTGTCTCGATTCTCGTGATGCTCGGCACTATCTTCAACGATTCCATATCTTGGTAAACCGACGTGACTCCACGAAGACGAAAATTGCGAAAAGAAATGAGAATTAAAGAACGAAATTTTTTCAAAATCTTTCAGGTTGGAGTCACTGTTTATGTTGGTCATGTACGGGGTCTATTGCGTGGCGCTTTCGTTCAACGCTCAGTTGGAACGTTGGGCGAAGTCGTACAACATTCCGTTTTTGCCTAAGGACGACGAGCCCGCCGAAGAGAGCGCCCTGGTGAGCTACAGGTCCTTGCAAGAGGATCGACTATCCTACACCGGTCCCAACTCGCCGGTTAACGAACAAATGAAGAGTCAAGAAGGTAATTTGTCGCTTTCATTGTTTTTTCTTTCGTTATTTCCGCAGCAGTGTCTTGAAGAGCGAAGGTTCTTTGATATTTTTTAGGAAACGGCATTCAAGAAACGACCGAGCAGCAGCAGCAGCAGCAACAACAACCACAACAACAACAACAACAACAGCAGTCGGCACCGAAACGACCCGAGTATTACAAAGCGAAGGAACCCGATCCCAACGAAGTGTCGCCTCTCGTGATGCCGACGGACGGCAACAAATGGACCCTGTTCAGCTGGGGCCTCGTGTACCCCATTCACTACATGTGCCGCGCGACGATGCCGGATTGTCGACAGGAGAAGTGGCGAAGCTGGTATCCCTTCACCTTCTGCATATCGATGATCTGGATCAGCTTCTACAGTTATATAATGGTGTGGATGATCACGATCATAGGTAACGTCGTTGTTCGGATATAATTGATATTAATTGTAACGAGTGTATTTTTGTTCGGGCAAAAACAAAATCAATGATTCCTTGCAGGAAGCACTTTGGGTATTCCCGACACTGTGATGGGCTTGACTTTCGTTGCCGCTGGCGTGAGCGTGCCGGACGCTCTCTCTTCGCTGGCGGTCATAAAGGAAGGCCTAGGTGACATGGCGGTCAGTAACGCTGTGGGCAGCAACGTCTTCGACATTCTGGTGTGTCTCGGCCTCCCGTGGTTCATACAAACCGCCATGATCCACCCCGGCTCGCACGTGAACGTTACCAGCAGAGGTGCGCGAAGCGTTTTGTATCGCATTTTTTAATGATGTAAAAGCCAAAACTGTCACACATCTCGTACATATGTAATATATGCGACGCGTAAGATGCAAACTTACTATCTCCTTCAGGTCTGACGTATTCGACCGTTTCTTTGTTGTCGACGGTGATATTCCTGGTGGTAGCGACGCATCTAAACGGCTGGAAACTGGACCGACAATACGGCCTGATACTGATGGTCTGGTACTTGATATTCATCGTGTTCGCGTCGCTGTACGAGCTCAACATCTTCGGCGAGATGAATCCCCCAGTATGCCCCAGCCAGTTCTAATGCGAAAGAGATCGCCTCGCTCGTTTCCGACCTTTTGCTTTGCTCAAAGAAATCGCGATCCCGCAGCGTTCGCGGCGTGGACGCCGCTGTCACGCTCGGCGACGATGATTTTTCGCCGGGCAACGACGCCGGCGTGCGCGCGCGCGCGCGCATAGTGAGACGAAACGCTCATCGACTTCGCGAACGTCCCTTCTCCTTTCTTACTCGAGGAAGACAGCGAAGAGAATAGAAGATATTATAGAAACTAGCTTCGCTGTTGGAAGTGCTATTTTTAGCTTGTTACGAAATCGAAACGGCCGTTTGAGATATATATTATATGTATAGGTAAGAGCTAAAACGGCTGTAATCGTTGAACTTTTTTTTCTTTCTCGAACTGTTGTAGAGAAATTCAGACAATATTTGCGCGGGGGAGGGGGAGAAGGGGGGAGTACACAGGCATTGTGGGCACCCGAGTGGTGCTGTCGAAAGTGTGTGACGAGTAATTTTGCTTGCTTCCGTTCGATCGCAAATCCTACGACGGAGTTTATACGAACGTGTTTTTTCCACACAATTGAACGAAATTACGGGAATTACGGGAATGCTGCTACGCGCCACGAATTTCTTTCGAGCAACGTGTAATCGCGCGAATCGTCTTCGAATAAAGAGAGAAAGAGAGAGACAGAGAGAGAGAGAAAAAACAAATAGAGAGAGACAATACAAATTACCAGTATTTAAGTATAATTTAAATACTATTTAAAAAACGCGCGCGCGAGAGAGAGAGAAAGAGAGAGAGAGAGAGAGAGCGTATTGGCAATTGTTATCGGCGATTCTTTGCTGAAATTATAAAAGCTGAATTCGTTGAAATTGATTGTTGCGAAGAGTTTCGACCTTCTATTGTGTTTCTATTAAACTCATTAATCACGTACGCGGCGCGAAACGAACACAGACGCGGAAGAAATAACATATATATGTATAATTCATCGCGCGTACATCGTGATACATTTTTTATATACGTCGCAAATGCCTGAGTACCGTTCGAAGGGAATGCGTTTTGACAATTGATCGTTTTATATTCTCTAATCTTAGACTAAAGAGATGCACACATACATGTGTATAGATGCGGCTTGTTTAAAAGTAGAAAAGATAGAAGAGGAAAAAGCGTTGTGTTTGTGCGGCCGAACGTCGAGACTCGAACCCCCCCGGTCGCATGCGTGTGCGCGAAACTGAAGACTTTTGACGGGAGATGTGTTTTTAGGGAAAAAAAAAGTGAGATATATATATACATATATAGTCAACGTGTGTACACACAAGAACAAAAAAAAAAAAAATTTTCCTTTGATACATATTGTCAACGCAAACGGGGAATTCCTATCCGACGCAATGTTTCGGAATATATTTGTATTTTTTTATATATATACATATACATATATATATATATATATATATATGTATATTTTCCTTATATCACGTGTGATATAGCGCCTGTTGCGTAGATTACATATGTATTCGCCATCGAAATATGAGGGAACATTTTTTCGCGGGCGCGAGAGATGATGATTTCGTTTTAAGAGAAAAAAAACGCTGCCGCGCGGACTCTCGAGCGCAATCCCTTCGGCATCGTTCGTGAGACAGAGAAAGAGAGAGAGAAAGAGAGAGAGAGAGAGAGAAAGTGAAACTTCGCGAGATCAAAGGATCGATCCCTCGTGAGCGCGAGCATGAAGGAAAAAGAAAAAATTTGTTTTTCTCGCGTGCGTACACGCGCATCTTGTTTTCCAAGACAAAAAAAAAAAAACAACAGAAACACCAACAAACGGAAAAGAACACACCTCGAAAGATCCGCGCGAGAAGAATTCGCGAGAGAACGAAGCGAAGCAAGCGAAATCTCGTTTTCTTTTCGCAAGAGAGACGAGAAGAGGAAGGAGAAAGGGTCGGGATGTTTTTTTTTTTTTTCTTTTTTTTTTTTCCATACAAGTGGGGCGAACTAAGCGCTGAAAGAGACAATAATTAACGCAGCCTTATCCGATGAAAGTATCTACAAATCACACAACACTACACAAAATACTGCGCGTTCCTTGAGATCAATTCTCAAATCGGATCGCTTGAAATCGCGAGAAAACAACAAACAATCGGGAGATGAGAACGGGTGTGTGAAAGAAGCTCCGCTTCCGAGATCCTTTGATCTTTCGAGCGCGCGATGTCGTCGACGAAACGAGTACGGCAAAATTCTCGCAGATATCTCAAGAGAGATCGCGTGTCGTGACACGCGGATGAGAGACTTTGGTGTCTACGATCTCTACATCCTTCACTTTTAAATTAAATTAAATTAATCACATTTTACACAAAGAGCTCTCTAGATTTTGAACAACGTAAACAACAACAACAAAAAACAATAAGATCTTAATAGTTATCTTTTTTTTTTATCCTGCGAGTGTTTCGTCGATGCAATATTCGTTCGGCTGTATGTGTTGTTTCGACATGTCGGTCAGTTCGTTATAAAAAAAAAAAAGAAAAAAAAATCGCGAACGATCCGTAAGAGATCGCAAGGATCGTGCAGACGCTTTAGTGTGATTATTATTATAATAAATCTAGCGTACATATATATATATATTATATTATACACATTCGTATATGACGTAATACTAACGAGAAGGCTTAGATCGTATGACTTATTGAACGTTCGACGTGTTTGTTCACTATGTTTACCTGTTATATTATTGTTAGGGCGTTAGAGAGACAAACTAATGAGAAAAATATTATTACGTGCAGTATATATAAATTATATACACACACATATATATATATATATAATGCAGCATCGCGATGCGCTCGACACAACGAAAAAAAAAAACAAAAAAAAAAACAAAAAAAGACATAGCTGGCAATTATCGAATTATTTTTGAATTATCTCTCGTTTTGCCGGGAACGAAATGAGCAAAACACATTCCCGTGTTATCGAGCGCATCGATGCGCGCGGCTTCCAGATTTTAGGAAGCGCCGATCAAATAGCAAAAAAAAAAAAAAAAAAAAAAGGCGCCTTAGATGATCTTTCATCCAGCGGACCAGTCTCGCGCTATCAATCTCGCGGAAACGAAACCTCACGTCCGCGGGATCGGTCGCGCGTACAACTCGTGGGAGAGATTGCGCTCTCCCACGCGTTCACATGCGGAAGAGAAGCGGAAGAGAGAAAAAAAAAAAAATATCGTCACAGGAGGATCACAACATTTCGGCCATTCGATCTTTACGGTTTTCTCGATCTTTTCGCGCGCGCGCACACACATATACACACACGAACACACAGACACACACGTACAAAAGTATCGGAAAAAACTTCAGTCGACACCAAATTGATTCTTCGTTAGATTTTCTGAGGATTAGCGGAGAGAAAACAAATTAACTATAACACAAGATTGAGCTCGAAATTCTCCGCTCCTGGTGGCGCAAATTACGGGTCCGCGTCTCGAGCATCAACGAAACGGAAGGAAAAAGTTTTTTTGACTTCGTTAGCAGAGAAGTCCGCACCTAACGTTCTATAATTTCTCGCAACTTTCTTTTATACCGTAATGTAATAGCTATCGCGTTTGAGCGTCGACGATTCTTCGGTGATCAAAGGTGTCATTAGTGTCAATTGACCTGCGGCAATTATTAGCGGTAGTAGTATAGAAAAAAAAGAAACGCGGTTTTAAGAGGAGGAGGAGGAGGAGGAGGAGGATAAAAGAGACGCGTCTCCGCGGGACGCGACCGAACATCGATCAATTCGAGGGTGTCCTTAATAGCGTGTAAATCGAAGTCAATAATGTCTTATATAGAGACGTCTCTCTCTCTTTATAATTGTAATTCCTTGAAAAAAAAAAAAAATAATAATAATAATCGCCCGTCCTTTTACTACAATAATCCCGTTGCATTGGCCGGTGGTGGCCGAAGGATCGCGCGTGACAACCGCGCTCTCTGATAAAAAAAAAAAAAAAAAATCTCTCGCAAAAACACACACTCTAACACACACGCGCGGAAAACAAAAATTTGCTATTACACGAGAACAGCGAGAAGAACCGACCGGATCTCTACTGTGTTTGGAAAAATGTTTTTTGTTGGCAAGACAAAACACATTCGGTCAAGCGCAAATTTTTTTCCGCGTAGTAACTCGTCCTCTTGCTGCTTCCAGAGCGAAACTTTTCCGTGCACACATACACACATACACGCACGCTACACACGTATTGAGTACTCGTGTACAAAACGCAGCAGTCGAAGAATATTAACGATAATAAAACGAGAATAAAAAACAATAATATTACCGATAAATTATGTAATAATTACAGTTACCGATTTAACGCGATTGTGTGAGATGTGTCAAGAGAGTAGAACGCAAGACGCGTACGTCGGTGTTAGCGGAAAGAAAGGATCAGAACGCAAAAAAAAAAAAAAAAACCTTGTTGTTAATCTACTGATTATATAAGCGTAGATTTTATATACCACAATATATAGATACGTATATATATATATTGTGTAGTTAGATTACAATTCCAACAGATGTTTACTTGATTTGTTTGTATAATTAAGTTCCGTGTCTCCTGTCTACCTGCAGTATTATCCCAGTCTTCGTCGCATACGTCGAATACGTGTACCTGTAATAATTAAAAAAAAAAAAAAAAAAAAAAAATCGCGAGGAGAGAGCCCCGTAACGTTTCGTTTTTGGTGCACCAGAGATACAAATTTTTACGCTCTTGTTTTTTTTTTTGTTTCGTTGACGACGGAACGACAACCACAGCTTGGAAAGTATCGCATAATATATACATATATAAAAAAAAATATATAAATAAATATGCAACATATACAAGATATATTATATATATATATATATAAGACACACACTGTATACAATAGCATGTACAACGTATAAGTAGATTACACATTATACAACGAATACAACGGCTGCCGCTGAGAGATACAATAGCCACGTGCGCTCGTTCTTTGATACATCGAGTTCCTTTTTTTTTTTTTT